CCTTACGCCGCCCTTGGTCATAGAAATGATGTAATTTGAATATAAATTATTTATAAATACGTATGTCAAGTTATATTTTTATTACGACGCAAAATATATTTAAGAGTTTACGACCACTATGCTGGGTGAGACATTGTTGAAACAAAAATTGTTATGCATTCCATCACGTACATAAACAGTGTCATAATTCACCAAGTGCAAATCAGCAAATTCGTAAAATTTTTGTTTATTTTGAACAATCCGGATAATCGAAAATCCGGATAATAGAGGTTCGGATAATCGAGATTCTACTGTATATATGCACTCTTGCATTTTTATTAGTCATGTTTTTTCTGTTTATGGGGGTTAAAGAATCTGTCCAATGTTGATTGCTTTTCTCTTTTCTTCAGGATTTTTCAGAAATAATTAATAGTATTGTAATTGTAGAGATCCCCAACCCCTTTAATCTTATTCTGGTTTGGATTCCACTTGGATGATCGTTGTTCTGACATCCTCCCACTTCTTCAAAAGCTCTTTAGTATCAGATGTTAACATTGGTCCTCTTTCATCTTCCTCTTTTTTTAAAAGAAAACACATATTGCTGAGTTTCTTGGTATTCTTCTGTCATCAAATCAGTTTCAGGTTCTATTATGAGCTCTAAAATGCTCTTTATTTCTCAGATGTGATTTTCATTACTCCNATCTTTAGTAATAGATGTCGACATTGGTCCTCTTTTGTCTTCCTCTTTTTCAAAAGAAAACACATCTTGTTGAGTTTCTTTGTATTCTTCATTGAGAGTTCTTGTTTCAGGTTCCATTATGAGCTCTAAAATGCTCATTATTTCTCGGATGTGATTTTCATTACTCCATTAGTAGCTTGAGACTTCTTGATATATCTTTCATAGCTAAGATTGTGCCTACTGTAGATCTGTTCAAGCCATACTGCCTAGCAACATCAGACATCTTGTGCCCACTTTCTACCTTGGCTATTATCTCTTACTTGGTTTCTATGGTGAGCACAGTTCTTGACACTCCTCTTTTTAGGCTCCATAATATTATCAGTTTCTTTTTTAAATAAAAAGTTCAGAAAAGCACTTACAAAAATTCAGAGAACAGAAATCAACTAGCCCAGAAAAAATTATTTAAATGCAAGGCCCGGATGAAATTCGAAATTTGGTATTAAAACGTTAATGAATATCTGATGGGACAGTTAAACTCTCACCTTTCGTAAATAAAAACCGACGCAAAACTTAACAAGTACCTGCCTGACAGTCTCGCAAAGACTATAAAAAATTATTTGTCAGAAAGGTAAACAAAAAGCTGGAATTACAAGGGAGAGTTTCAAAATTCAGAGGAATATTATACTATCTGATTGGTAGCGGGTTGATCGTCAATGTTGATGTCTCCCGCACTCTAAAAGGTTTCGAATTGTTATCTGAAGACAAGGGAAAATCAATTGGTATTCGTTATTTTCCATTGCTTCTTTTTATGTTTGTTCAGTAAAGTATTTGTTGTCTGATCATAAGAATCTATCACAAAAGTGTTCATTATCCGATTTGTTCGCTATCCGAACTGTTCGTTAACCAATTACCCACTGTATATTACAATATTCATATAGATGTATGAATACATACATACATATATAATCGAATACCTTTTGTCTATATTTTAGATAATCAGTTAAACATTTAGTTCAAAACATAACCAACAACAGACTTATACTAGGATATAGTTTATATTGGGTTGACAACTTATGGTACACATGCCAAATGTGGCATGCAAGCCGATTTTCAGTGGCACTCTGATTGAATAGAAATGTAGTAAAAATTACTTTTTGATTATTAATTACATATTTAAATGGAAGTCATAGTTCAGCAAAGGCCATGGTACATTAAAAAGGAATTTCTTGTTTGTATATTTCTATTACAGCGCATGCATTTACGTTCTGTGTTGCCATCTATGTGTTATGCAAGCACTTCACATATAAGAACATAATTCAATTAACAATTTAACTTCAAAATTATACATTTTTGAAGTCTGTAATAACCAGACTAATTTTGATAACATATATAATAAACTTCTTAGAATCATGTTGGCACTCAGAATAATACCATTTTGCACTGAGCATTTCAATCTAGATTGTGACCAAGGTCAGTGACTATGCCTTGGTGCGACCTCTCTTGACCGTTTCAATCATGATCGACTCTAGAGTTCTTGAAACTAGATCCAGTCATAAGAGAGATCCCACAATCCCACGCGCGTGAGAAAATACAAGATGGCTGTGGAATACATGTTGGGCTATTGACAGAGAAATAAAAAAGATACTGTATTTGGAGGGATGATGACATCTGTCTATTATTAGATATATGGCAAGAAAAAGTACTGTATTTATTTCTAACCAAAACTTCCATTTTGTTTGTTGGTGTTCATGACTTACCGCATAGTTTTATCATCGTGTGTAATAGCCGGGTTCTTCTCAAGTGGACTGCCTGTGTGAACAGCACGACATTCGACTGGCAACAGTTACAATTGAGATTGTAGGTAAATCAAGATTGAAGTGAGTCGTGGATTGTGTGCGAATGTAGTATAACACTACAACTTACATTCAGCACACCACTGCTGAAAAGGTTGCCAACCCCTGGTTTATATAACTATGTTAATCTTGTAGTATTTTAATCATGTTTTTTATATACTAATGTAAAAAATAAAGGGAGATTGTAAAAAACCAAAATTTTTAATTGTGTTATGTCTTGGTTGAAAGAGTTTGTAGAATTAAAATCCAGCTGAGGAGGACAACATTGTTTTTTGTTGTCAAAATGCATAGTGGTCTTTTACATGTTGCTAAGTTTAATTGTTGAATAAACACAGGCTAGTATATGATAAGAAGTCTATTGTTGGTTGTGTTTTGAACCAAATGTTTAAATGGTTATTTGTGAAATGTTTTTAATCTTTTAACTTTGTTAAAAAATAAATGGTAAATTATTTCAGAAAATAATGTATTTCAGAAAGTTTATTTCTTTTGAATTTAATTAGATTGAATTGGATACATCATAAGAGGAACATCTGATATCATTCATTTGCAGCAATTCAACACTTTTACATTTTTTAACAAAAGCTAACTTTTGTTTGGAACTAAACCACAATATATAAAATATTAATAATTTACTACTTATACTTTTATTTTTTAAAATTACTGGTAGAGATTAATTATTTGACAACTTATCCAAAAAAAAAAACTAATTGTTGCTATTTTAATTTGCCACCATTTGCAGTAATTTTACTTTCTTTTTCAAAGGAATGACTCAAAGAAATCTATTATTTAATATATTTCAATTAAAATTGTTTTTCTGAAAATGTGTAGTATAATGATTGAAAAATCATTACTACTACACATTTTCAGAAAAAAATCAATATATTGTCAAACCTAAGATTATACCTAAAATAAAAGTAGTGAAAAATAAGACCGTGCTTAAAGAACTTATATATTCAATTATACAATATGGTAAGTTACAGTATACATTTTAGCCAATTATCCAATATTTTCAGATTGACTATCTATTAAAATTTAATTTTTTTAAATATTTAAAATGTAAACAGAAGAAGAATATGATTAAAAAATGGTATAATTTTATGCTGAAATTGCTTGAAATGCATATGATAGTTCATATTCAAATGAAACTTAAATAAGCAAGTAAGTATGCATCACACTACAGAATATTGCCATACTAAACACATGTCACACAGTCAGAAATTTTTAAATACAGATATATACAGAAACAGCAAGTAAACTAAATTGTTCTGTAGGTATGCCTTGATCTTGGCCTGGCATAGCAATGGGACCAGTGTTAACTGAGTAGGATATATTTCTCCAAAACCATAATAGTAATAATACTAAAAGATACTGAGTTTATTTTTCTAAGATATAAAAAAAGAAAAAATGCTAAATCTGAATTATTAATTCACATTATCTTTGTCTATTTAACAATGTTTGGAAATTTGATGATCTGCTGTATTGATAATTATGTATTAAATAATAACTAATTTATTAATCTAAATTAAACTTATCATTGTTTATAAAATTTCATAATAAAATAATTTATATGACTGCTTTCTGTATTAATTTTCAGCACCAGGACCACCAGGAGGTGGACCGCCTACAGGTCAAACTGTTCCTCGTGGTCCACCAGGACCTTCTGGAACTCCTGTGACAACTGCATTGGCTCCTACTCAGACAGGACCGTCCATGGCAGTGGTGCCTCAGGGGGCTCAGGCCTCATCTCCAGATCTTCCTGTTTTCACTTGTCCTCGTAGACCTAATGTGGGTACTGAAGGTAGACCAATCATGTTGCGTGCCAATCATTTTCAAATCACTATGCCTCATGGCTTCCTTCATCATTATGATGTCACTATAACTCCTGATAAGTGCCCTCGTAAAGTTAATCGGTAAGTTTAGAATATTGTTATTTCATTTACAACAAGAATTATCTTGGTATAAATGGATATTAAATCTACATAGTAGTATCACATTGATATTTTATTGTACAGGGTGGCCTAAAAATCAATCAATTAAGACATAATTTAAGAATAACTGAAACCCGTATGAAGAAGCTACATGTTGTTTATAATTTATTATAGTTACTATTGGAAGTGAATGAATTGTGAACAACATGCAGCTGCTTCACACTGGTTGTAGCTATTCTTAAAATAATTTTAAAACTATATCACAGATTATTGACATTTAACCTAAACTGTATTTTGAACTGTATTATGAATTTTTTGTTAAGAATTTTCTGTTTCACTATCATTTACTTTTCTTTTATGTGTGCTGTAAAGTTCATGTTTTTAAAATGAAAAATTGTCTCACCATTCAGCTTGAAACTTTAGTCAATCTGATGATATAAATATGTAATATTAAGTTGTTATCGTCTTTTGCTTTTGAAGTTTAATTGAAGTGCAATTTTGATAGATTTATTAAATAAAAGAACTCTTAATTACTTTTAAAGTTCATAAAACTGCACCTTATTATACATGAAAAATAAAAACTGCTTTTGAAAATAACTTGTTTAATTTTCATAAAGACATTGAATCATCATCAGTTACAAGAAATACTTCTAGAACAGCTTTTTAAACTTTCACGGCCGATTGCAGAGACAGAGTTTACATTAAACGACGTTTACACATTGGCTCTTACTTACTTCGCTATTACTCCCCTGTTTTAGGAGTTGTTCGGCCAATCGGATTATTTCTTCGTGACGTCAGAAATGGTCGTCAGCTATATTCCGAAAGCTTAAGGCCGTCAAAATCATTGTTCGGCAATTAATGACAATCCTTTTCTATTTCGTTATTCAATTTCGTTGCCAATACGATTTAAAATATGAACAAATCCATATTTAGAAAATTTATACCGAATTCGAAATTCGTCTTCGGAATAGATTTTTAAGGAATTATTTCGACATCTTATTACTGTCGAAATGAATAATTTTAAATATTTTATTATTAATATTACATTTTTATATCTATAAACAGATTTCTGTAATTATTAAAATTGTCTCGTTTGTTTAACAGTACAACGACCCCGAAATGCATTAACGTTTTATAACCGACACGATACTCAAATTGTAAATAAATGCATCTGATTTAATTGTAGTTTTAAGTCTTCACCCATTTGAATATCGAAATTGGAACATTTAAAACAAATTTAAAGTATTTCATTTTGTTGTTTTTGTTCCGAGCAGTTAATTAATTAATGAGTAATTTTGTCGATTCGTACCGTTTACAACATTTATCAAAGAAACGATGTCTGTTTTTATCTAAACTTTTCCACAAACAAAGCTACCACTCGAATTGAAAAGCCCTCTAAACCTGCTGTCGAGTGAGTCTAGAAAATAGGTCAAATAACTTGTTTCTAATCGCTGTCTACAAGACAGCGATTAGAAACAAGTTATTTGACCTATTTTCTAGACTCACTCGACCATTTCTGACCTCACGAAGAAATAATCCGATTGGCCCAACGACTCATAAAACAGGGGAGTAATAGCGAAGTAAGTAAGAGCCAATGTGTAAACGTCGTTTAATGTAAACTCTGTCTCTGCAATCGGCCGTCATAGTTTGAAAATTTAATAAACATCATTGTGAAGTCAAATAATTTTTTTTAAAATTTGTTTGAAATAGTTTATAAAATCTTATTATGTTTAAATTAATAAATAATTTAAAATTTATATATACAATAGAATCTCGTTTTAGTGGATCACGGAATAACAGATTTTTTCTAGCTCCGTCTTTGGTAAACATCGTATTTTTTTCAACCTTTAAGTAATAATTGGATGTTTCTGGATATTGAATTAAAAAAAAAAAAACATTGCACACTGTGCAAACTAAATGCATAATCATCACAGTTCTCACTGATAACATTAGAGCCACACATTAGTGCCCTCCTGTACCACATTGATTAGTGAAGAAAAACTACTCTCAGCTTAACACTTCCAGATATGCATGTGTCTGCAACAAAGGTGTACCACATCTTTGTTGTAGACACGTGTTCAGGAATATCGCATCTTGAAATCATGCTTGTGTAACAGTAACGTTTCATACTGATGATGTCACCAAAAGAAGCCCAGAAAGGCTATGTTATCACAGTGTCATTAAAGAAAGCCAAAATAGACAGGTTTTTTTATTTTAACATATTGTGAAGTGCTGATGATTGTATATACTTTGTCACTTTTTGGCTTATAATGTATACAGTTTCTGTCATCTTTGTTACAGCATAATGTACAATTTTGTAATAAACTTGTCTAGCCTCCATTTTATATAAACATCTCAAGAGACTGAATAATTTCAGGTACAGGTGTTTTTTTTATGTAGGGGGTTTTAAAAAAAAAAATTTTTTTTTGAATAATGGATATTTTCCTGGGAGTGCGAGAAATTTATTGCTTGCGATATAATGGATTTTCAGAACAGATGGTTTTTGGTGTCCTGAACAATCTGTTAAAACGAGATTCTACTGTAATAACAAATTTTAACAGTATTAGCCTGTATATTCCTAAAAATCTAGCTAGTCTCCTTAATTAACCTATTAGTAACTTTCTTAAAATTTATTTTGTTCAAAACTGATTTCCTACAATTCTGCAATACTTTTGAATCATTGGTGTTAACTTTTGTATATTGTTATTTTGCTATCACATGTGTATAAATTTGTTTTAAAACCATTAGGAGGAAGTCCACACTACATTTTTAGATAAATGTAGGCTTATCCCATGTATCATTACCACTGTTTGATACCCATAACATTATCAATGTTTCTGCATTGCAGTTGGCTTTTGCAACAACTTTATAATATTCCTTAATTCTCATTTCTGTAGATCTTGAAGTGGAGCTAATGTAAAAATAATTCTTTCTTTAATGATAGTCTTATCACATAAACTCCTGCACTTGACTTTTTATCTAACTTTCATTTATCATTACTAATTGCTCCCATTATCATATTTCTTTTAATCTTTAATGAATTGGTTTGGCATATGAAGCAGCTAAAGATGCTAATGTTTTCCCCTAATAATAAAATCCTTTTTTTTATCATTTACTTTATCTTGCTGTGATTGTTTCTTTAATGAAGATTTTATTAGATTGCATATGATTTTTACTGGCATTCCATGATTGCTCACTGTTGCTGCACATGTGATTTACTACTTTAGAAGATTGAACTTACTACTTATCCACAACTCCAGTGTATCTAGCATGGGAGAGTTGCATGGTGACATTGTTGAGATGTAAAGAGATTCCCATATGAATAATGTTTTTTAATCCCCACAACATTTCAGGAGAGAAGTTTGCAGGCAGACAGTATTTAATTTTAAAAAAATTATTATTAATTATTAATTTACTTCATTCATTATACTTATTCAATTTAATTTTTTCCCATCTGTATTAATTTTTAAGTTCTAGTATTTTCATAAAAATATTAGAACTTAATAATAACTTTATAGTAATAAAATTGTCCTTTAGTTTATTCATAAAAAGAAGCATTTTGAAAATAAACTACATCTAGCATATTTATATTTGATCTTTTGTTGAGCTGCAATTTGAAAAATTATAGACCTATAATTGTGAGATAGGTTTGCTCTTTCAAAAAGCATTTATGGAAAACTGAAATAATTATAAATAATTTTTTAATAATTTTAATAGTTAAGTAGAATTTTTTGAAAACATTTAAGAAAACTGAATATCTGTTGTCATAAATAGAATGCATGTTGAAAGATATTATTCATAGTGTATCTGTAAACTTTTTAAAATGGAGTTTTTAATAATTATATAACTAAATTACAAATATAAATTATATATTTGTGATCAAAAAGTCATGCACCTACAGCCCTTTGTAATATAGGTGCAAAGCAATTCTTTGATTTTTCTGTATTACAAGTACTTTATCTAAAATTATCACTCAGAATAAAAACTGTTTCCCTATATTTTTAATTATAATCTATAATTAACATTATTTTTCTTTAAAATATTTTGAAATTATTTTATATAAATATATTTTAAATATAAATTGTTACACACTTGTAAAATAGTCTCTTTATATTATTCAATTAAATGTTTATGCTAAAATGTATATTAAATTTTATTTAGGGAAATTATAGAAACCATGGTTGGTGCATATATAAAAATATTTGGCAACCAAAAACCTGTTTTTGATGGAAGAAAAAATATGTACACTAGAGATGATCTTCCTATTGGAAAAGACAAAGTAAGTTTAACCAATTTTTAACCAATGATATAATATGTTGTTTAAGGAAAAAAATTATGAATTTGATCATTGTACAATTATTTTTAAAATATCTAGTTTAGATAATTGAGTTTATGTTTTTAATTCTATAATTTGAAATTATAAGAAGTCATCATTGATATTCAGTAAAGCAAATAAAATTATTTCAATTATCAACTAGTTGTATAATAATATTTCTATAAAATATTGTCTATATTAATGCTATTCCATACTGCAAAGAAATACGCATTATCATAATTATTCTAATAGGTTCTAATTATATATATATCTCAAATTATAAGAAAAATATATATATATATATTAATCAATATTTATTACAATTTACATATTTATTTGTTTAATTAAATATCTAAAAGCAAGATTTTCTTCATGCTATATTTTGACTAGACTTTAAAACTAAGCACAGTACACACTCTTTAAGCTGAATTCCACTTACAAGGGGACGTTGCGGTCTTAGAAATTCAGTTTGGGATGAGACTTCGCAAGTTAGTAATATATCTCAAGGGTGTCCACCCAGAAAAATTGTAAAGCGCACTAGCCAGAAGATACCAAGAAAAGCGATTCTAAAGTTTTAAGCGCATTTCATATACTGGTCGATTTTACACTATGGCAGCACATCGAAATGGCTGATTCTGTAGCGAACATGCGGGCGATCTAGATTCAATCTTACCTTCAGCTAACTTTTTTTTTATTTTTTTTTTTATCAATTTTAATTTATTTATAATGACAAAAAAATATTATCAATTAAATCATAAATAATTTTATTTTATTTATGAAATGACTGTAAAATGTGAATTAAAGATAATACCGTGGTGCCTCATATAATGTACTTAATCCGTTCCAGGTGTATGTCTGTTAAGTGAAAAGTCCATTATATGAAATGCATTTTTCCATAGAAATACATGTTAAAACATATAATTTGTTCTGCAACATAAAATAACCGTACTGTACCATAAAAAAATGAAAATGGAGCAGTCACCAATTATGCCGGGTAGTCAGATGTTGTGAAGAGGAGGTGGAGAAACCTTTCTTTACACATTCATACAGCTACAGATTTTTTACACATTGTAGAAGGTCTCTTTTTATTGTTTTTTAATCTGAGTCAGATTCAGGAGAGGCTACTGGAACTTGCAGGGTCATCTCCTCTTGTTCCATCCTTTGTTTTTTGGCAGCTTGCTTCTTGAAAAACATGTCCAAAGTGGTCAACTCCTCTTGTTCCATCCTTTGTTTTTTGGCAGCTTGCTTTCTGAAAAACATGTCCAAGGTGGTCTGTTTCTCTCTCTTCTTCAACGCTTGTCGGAAATGATGGGCATGGGTGTCATTGTAGAGATCATTGATCCTGTTGGCCTCAGCTCTGTTTGGATAATGAGTGTTAGTAAACTCCTGAACCTCTCCTCATTCAACAAGGAAGTTTTTGTCAACTTTCACTCCTTCTGATGATGTCTTACTTTGTTTGAATTGAAATCACCTTTCTGTTTTTTAGAAGCCACAATTTGCACAACACTTGAATAAATGTAAATACACTGCACTGAGGTGATGTACGTAATAAACAAGGGAGTAAGCCGTATTCCAACGGGAGCTCTGTACTTCAGATATACTAATAATATATTGTAATGATACTAATATATTATAAAAATAGCAGATTGTCATTGGAAACGGCAAAAGAGTGGAAACATCATTTGCACTTGTTCGCAACCAGTCCGTTGCTTGAGTCATGTAACAGTCAAACAGAAAGTTCGTTGTTCGCAGTGTTCGGTATTCGAGGTGTACATTATATGAGGCACCACTGTATTTTATTTTTAAAAAGTTGGATAATTTCAAATGCATTTTTAATGGAGGTAAATTAAAACTTTAATTATCATTATAACAAATTTTCAGGTAGGATTTTATTTATTTAAAAATTTTTACAATATCGTTTTTATTTGTCAATTTTTTATTTTACATACAAGCACCAGAATGATAATTATCATAAAAACATTGAAAACAAAACTATTTTGACATCTTGCACAATTTATGAAGGACAATTGTTTGCATCAGTGTTTCTCAACCTCTAACGAATCGTCACCCCCTTCAATAAAACCGTTATGTAGTACCGCCCCTTCACTACAAAATTCTGATGCTGAGGGCTAAGACTAACGCCAAATTCGTACTGCATTGAATAGAATAGTGATTAGTATAATGTTATTTGTTTAATTATTGTACGATATATCAAATAAAATATCTAATTATTCTTAAAATAATGTTTTACTATATCGCCCAGAAAATTGTTTTTTCCCCCCAAAATATAAATTGTTACTAATCGCCCCCTGAACATGGAAAAAATGCCCACATGGGGCGATATCGCCCCATTAAGAAACACTGGTTTACATGAACAACTTTTTTTTAAAAGATCTATTGGAAAACATACTTCATTTACATTCATGAAAATTTCTCTTTCATCAGAAAGCCTGGAAGCATACCAGGCATACCGGATCATTTCATTAAAAATTGGCAATGACAGTTGATGATGCACTATTGATTGTATTTTTATACAGTCTTTACAGGAATTTATTTCGCTATTATTTTCAATCAGATAAGCACAATTTTGTATACGCTTTATTAGATTTTTTACCTATCTATAAAAATAGACATCACAAGGTTGAATAAAAATAAAATAATATTTTATTTTTAAAAATTTTTATCTTTAATTCACATTTTAATTAGCTATAGCAGTCATTTCATAAATGAAATAAAATTATTTATGATTTAATTGATAATATTTTTAGGTCATTAACTTTATTTAAAAGTTGTTATAATTTTTAAAACAATTGAAAAAAGAAAGAAAGTTAGCTGAAGGTAGGATCGAATCTAGATCACCTGCGTGGCAAGCGAGTTCGCTACAGACACTTCGCTCTGCTGCCATAGTGTAAAATTGACCAATATATTAGCTGTGCTTAAAACTTTAGAGCTCTTTTTTTCAGAATCTCCTGGCTAGTGCGCTTTACAATTCTGGGTGGACGCTTGAGATATACTACTAACCTGCGAAGTCTCATCCCAAACCGAATTTTCGAGATCATAAGGTCTCCTTGTTAGTGCAAATCAGTTTTGTTTGTTTTTCTGATTTATTAGTTCATTTTTAAATTTACAATAAAAAGTTATTTTTAATAAAATGTTTCTTGTGTATAATTTGCAAGTTATTTTTGTTTAAAGACAGTTTGAAAGGAATGCAGATTATACATATAAGAATATAGTAATATATTTGAAAAAATTTATTTAAATTTTATTTTTGAATTAAATGGAGAAAAAACAAAAAATTTAGTAATCTTTTTACACTGTAATTGTCTTATACTTCAACAAATAAGTGGAATAGATTCAATAAATATATTCTTGATTTATTCAGAAAATTTCAAATAAAAAGAAATTTTCTTATACCTGTAGCAAACAGTATGTCATTTTCTACAGTCTTTATTAATGAGGTAGTAAAATCAATAAAATAATAATTCTGGTTTTAAAAGGTATTTTAAAAGTATGAATAAATTTTTTCAATTCTTTTAATTTTCAGAATTTAGGAATTTTATTGATTATATGCTGTTATTGTGAAAAAAATTGGTTATATGCAAATCTAAAATAAACTGTCATCAAATCATTTTGAGCAAATTTCAGAAGCTATCTAATTATTTAATTTAGGCCTTTTAAGCTTAATTTTCTATCATTATTTGATGTAATACTATATTTTCTTGATTAGATACACTATGATGAATCAAATTTTAAGGGTAAACAATTAAGATGTTTTTGGGCTTCAATTTGAAAATATTGTAGACAAATTTCTACTGCCATCTGTCTGTTCGTCCTTCTTTAATCTTGAGAACAGATTTTCCCTAAAGCTGGTCCCTAAGCTTTCCGTATCTGGTCTCGACTTTCATCTATCTTAATAGATGAAAGTCGAGACCAGATATGGAAAGCTTAGGGATCAGAGGCCCAATTAACTATATATGAACTTTGGTTTGCACTGGAAGTTACATTATTTCAATTCAAAAATTTTCCCCTGAACAGTGTGAGATGACTGGCAAGACACTACTAAAAAATTGAGAACATTGTGACGAAAAATTGCAACCCAGCATTGTGACAATGTCACAATAAATAGTTGCATGTTAGTTATGAGAATTTATAAAGAATATTTTAAAAATTTATATTAATGGTTAAAAAATGAATGTTTATTTACTAATTTTAATAATAACATATAGAAAGCATTTCCATGGCAGAAAAATAAGTAGGAAGCAAATTCAAAAGTAGGAACAAAAAGATTTGTTCATTGTAGTATTAAATTTTAATAATTACAATTTTATTTCATTTTGTGTTTCTAAAATTTACAAAATATATTTCTTTAATCAACAGTTAATTTTAATTAGTAGAAAAACATCAGTAGAGAAACATATAATTTAGAATAAACATCATTAAAAAGACATTTCAGCTGCAAATTTAAATTGACATCATTTGTTTTTGAATTATTATTTTTTAGTGATGCTAATTATCCTCCTAATAACTATTAGTTACAACAAAATACAGTAAAGCCTGTGTAAGATGGAACATGAATAAAGTAGAAACTTGCCAAAATAGAAAAAAAAAAAACTTTGGAACAGAGTGATTTTTCTACGTTAAATTTTACTTTAAATTGGAAGCTTGTCTAATTTAGAAACAGAAGAGATCTTTGAGTATGAAGAACATAACAGTACCTGTATAAAGTGGAAAATTAAGATTTCACTTGTGGAGAAATAATAATACAGTAGAGCGTCGTTTATCCGAATTAATTGGGGACTGGGGTTGTTCGGATAACTTATTTTTCGGATAACCAATTATGTACGAAAAAATATATTAATTTATCCCGTGTTGAAATTTTTCTCCATTGCGTGTCACTTTGCGTTGAATTTTCGTCGATGTTAAGCCTAACGAAGACTATTGTATCATTAAAAATTATTTTTTTATTTTGTACAAACAAAATAAATATGTTGAAAAATATAAAAAAAATAAAAAATTATACTTCAGAAGTTAATTTAGTATCAAAAACGTAAAATATTTGAGTAACCGAAGACATAGCCAAAGACTACAGCGCCACAGCACTGGCAAAAATTTAAATTTGTCGACTGGAATTCCTTTGGATAACCGACGTTTCAGATAACCGACCTTCGGATAAACGACGCTCTACTGTAAATCCTTCAGGTATAATGATCACTGTAGAGTGTGACAAACCTTTTCAGAGAAATGAAAGATAAGAAAAAATGAGAATAAGCTACCAGTGCTGTTAATTTGTCTTGTATTGAGTAAAGAGTAGTTACTAAATAACTAGTACCTACTATTTAAGAGCAAGTTGATTAACATTGTTGATAATTACAGAGCTTGAAGTTAACAATAAATCTGTATATTAAAATTTTTCATAGTCAGATCGTAGAATAACTGGTCTCTGTATCATTGTAATGCAATTAGAATTTTTGATGGTAGAATGAGACACTAGTTCTTGGTTCTCAAATTAGCTTATTTACTGTCATGTAACAAGAATCTCATGCTTTCAGTATTCAAATACCTAGTACAAGTTCTTGGAAACAACAAATACTTTTTAGAATTGAATTGTTCTCAATTCTTGCATTCAAATACTTCTATCATTAGTTGAAATTAATTAATGCATTATAATTTATTAAAGTTATTTAATGATATAAAGTATGTTAGGCTGTTTAAATTTTTGGTGAATAGAAATTTGTTTTTCTTTATCTATACTTTTCAAAATTGGGATGAATGAATTAATTAATTGATCCCAATAATCAATTAATTAATTAGTTAATGCAAAATTTTTTAAAATTGTTTTTATATATAAATATACCATATAAAACTTGCACATTTTATATCCAAATGTAAAAAATAATAACATAATTTGTTACCTTAGTTTAATAGATCATGTTATTTTATAAAGTTATCATGCAGACTTAACATTATTATTTAATATATAATTTTTACTTATTTTGAATTTTATCTTATTGAAAGTAAAAATTTTAAATTTATTTTCAATAGGTAGAACTTGAAGTTACACTCCCTGGTGAAGGCAAAGATAGAGTATTCAGAGTGAGCATTAAATGGATGGCAAAAGTTAGTTTATATGCTTTGGAAGAAGCACTTGGTGGAAGGTCACGACTTATGCCTTCTGATGCCATTCAGTCATTAGATGTAGTTATGAGGCATCTTCCCAGTATGACGTGAGTTTTTAAACATAATAAATTTCAATATTTTTTAAATATATAAATCCTGTTTTTATGTTGTCATGTCAGTCTTTTAGATTTTTTTTTCCATAAAAATTCTTTTTGCCAAAAATTTATGAATTAATTTCAGATTATTCTTGAGATAGATGATGCACTTTAATTTCCTATGATTGTTAGGATATATAAGTGGTCCTTGATTTTGAACAACTTTTCTGTACATAATACCTTTATAATTTAAATCACTTTTCCTATGTCAAATCCACACTTTTGTGCATTTTTCATCTAAAGCTTAAACATTTTAAATTATTGTGCTGTAGTGTTTCTTGCCACATGGTTTTAATATCTTATTGTCATAATTATTTATGAAAAGTATCAAAATAATTTGTGAAATTTAATTTTAATATGTGTCTTCTGTTTAATATGCGCTGTTAACATTTTAAATGTTTTGAGCATTGTAATGTATTCACTATAAAAAAAACTTTTTTGCCTTAATGAGATATTTTATCATTTTTTTTAATTCTCTCAGAACAGGAATGCTCCTATAAGTTGCTGCTTTATTGTTCAGTTTTTGGACATTTGACTTTTTTGTGCACACTTTTAGGAACACTAAATTTGAAAGTCAAAAGCAGTTAATCAAATGTGTGTCTCAGTATATATTATATATATTTAAACTTACTATACATGTAAAACACTTCCAAATTACTTCTAGTATACTAAAACATCTTAAAAACAATGTGGCATTAACAACACAGTGGACTGAGAAGAACTAGACTCAAATAGACAAATTATGATAGCAATGGCACTCATCCATTTTCACCAATACATGTTTATCTATGTTGTACTATACATTAGCCTATTTTTGTCAGTAATGTTTTTAATTGAGTAATTATAAGTTATTTTTTCTTTTGAACACATTGTAAATGGACAGTGTTTGAAATTTTCAGTAAATTTACCTGTAGTGAAAAATCCAAACTTTGTTTCAAAGGACTCAGATAAGATAGTAGTGTTTTAAAACACTACTGAGTGAATGAATAATGAAAAATACAAATATCAGTTTAAAACTTTTAAAGTCTAATTTGGTAAATATATTTAGATAGTAGATAAATTTATCTACTATCTAAATTTCTCCATAATTAATTATGCAATGTATACTATCATTATCTCAAGTATTGAAATGAATTATAAAGCAATTCTAAAAAGTTTTTGAGTAAATTTATTTATGAAAATCTTTAATATATAAAATTTATAACTACTGAATAACAATATTGTTTGAGCTAATATAGAGAAAATAATAGCAGATACCTAACATTTTGTTAAATTATTTTATATATTTGTTATTTCATTTCATTTTTAAAATTCTTAATTTTGTGTTTCAGATATACCCCTGTTGGAAGATCCTTTTTCTCATCTCCTGATGGCTACTACCATCCTCTTGGTGGAGGACGGGAAGTTTGGTTTGGCTTTCATCAAAGTGTTCGACCTAGTTCATGGAAAATGATGTTAAATATTGATGGTGAATTATTTTTCCTGATTTAATATTTAGAATTTGAACTATATGAAGTTCTGAATTTGATTAATATTTGAGTTTTTATTTTAGTATCAGCTACAGCTTTTTATAAGTCACAACCTGTGATAGAATTTATGTGTGAGGTTTTAGATATTCGAGACATTAATGAACAACGAAAACCATTAACTGATTCTCAGCGTGTTAAATTTACCAAAGAAATAAAAGGATTAAAAATAGAAATTACTCACTGTGGAACAATGAAAAGAAAATACAGAGTATGCAATGTCACTAGACGTCCAGCACAAATGCAATCGTGAGTTTCTATAATTTTAAATTATAACTTTACTATATTTATCTTTGTTTTCTGTAAAGGAAATGAATTAGTTTAGTTATTTAAGTATAGGTTAGTTGCTAGATCTTACCAAATTACTGTATGGTCTCATTTTATGCGGATTTTTTTTATGCGATTTTGAAGTTGTGCGGTTTGTATTTCATCCAAAATTTTTTTGGACAAACATACATATAGGCTTGTTTAGGAAGCCCGCGTATAGACAGTCTCCAAAAATCGTGGGACGCTCAAAGCTCACTCCATTTGTTCCACTGACATATAACCTTTATGGATGTAAAGGACAGCTAGATCTACCTTAATCGCTTTAGTTCCTAGCAATTTTTGATATAAATGTAATTAAACATAAAAAATACTTAAAACTGAAAAAAAACGAAAGAAATGCGTTAATTTTGAAGAAAAAGCTTCAAAGTTTAACTTCCTTTGTCTCGCCCTTCTGTGAAATTTAACACCGATGAGTCATTGTTTACACATCTGGATGACCTTGAACACAGCTGGAGTTGGATTTCCCGGGGCATTCTCATAGACGTCGCGGGAGGACAAGGGTTTAAAGTAGGGTGAACACTAGCTGGCCGTATATTTTTAAATATTTTTAAAAAATTTGGAGACTTAAAAAACATTCCAAAAATTCTAAAAAAAAATGTAAAACTATATTACTTTTCAATAAAATTAACTGAATTAAGTTTGAATACAAGTTTATTTTAAGCTTTTATATGAATTTCTTTCAGACATTCGAAGTAATTTATTAAGCAGCCTATTTCTTTTAATTTCTGCAAACTTTTTTTATGCGGTTTTAAGTTAATTTTAACTCATTGTTTTGGTTTTATGCGATTTTAGAAAATTACGGAACGTATCCCTACTTTTTCAAGGCAAGTAAAGTCTTTTTTTATGCGAATTTTTTATATGCACTTTTCTGTAGAACATATCCATTGCATAAAACGAGACCTTACAGTATAAATTTTTGTTTTAAAACCAGCAAATTACTTTTTTAATCATTTTTGTTAACTCACATTATTAAGATATATCTTTGATAAAGTCAAAAATAAACCAAATTTTCATCTAACTTTTATTACAATAATAATAGATGTGTTTATAAAAGAGCAAACCAAAATAAGCATCTTCTGAGCTACACTTTTTTGCCAATGTTTATACCACTTATTAAAATATTCTTGCAGTCCCATTTGTGTTATTTCAAATGCAGTCATTGCAGCACTTTTTATCTATTTTGTTAATTTGAATCTTTGATAGAACTTTTTCTGGTGAAGATATGAAATTCTATAGGAACAAGGTTTGGTGAGTTTTATAGTGTAACTTTCTGGTGTTCATTAAGATTGTTAAAGTTTGTTACACAATACTATTATATCATACATTCACATTTAGGAATATATACTTTTATAAATGATTAGCAATTAGTATATTCATTCATTTTTTTGTGTGTTGTTTTTTAATTATTATTTTAATGTAATACAGCAATTACTCACTTAACATTACTTTGTTTAATTTGTTTTGCTGAGTAAAGATACAAGTACATTTGTAATCATTTACAATTATTTTGAATTTTCTTTATAAAAGTTAAAACTGATTCTTTGAATTAGGAAATAAATGCTGGAGGTTGCAAACATAATCCAATTAGAATATTAACTATTTAGCTTATGGCAAAATTGTTTCATTGTGTCAGTTTGCTTAATGCCTTAGTTTCCAAGAATGTATTGACATCATTATATGATAATTTGCTGTACAATCTTTTTATTTATTTAATTTATTATTATTTCTATTATTAGGCCTAATAATAATAATATATAATAAAACAGTAATTTTGTTAAATGAAGCATGCAATGCCATAATGTTGTAAATGTCAAAAAAACTTTCAAGAAAAGGTAAAAAACACTTTTTCTAGTGAATGAATTCATTTTAATTTTACAATAAAATGGTAAAAACTTTCTAGGTTACAAATTGTATGAAATATCAAAATGATGTAAATATAAGCTGTAACATTTTAATCACCAAAGTCATGTGACTTGCACTTTGGCACTAATTTGTTCCCCAGTATTCCCAAAATATTTTGAGTCAAAACATAATCACCTTGACCTATGGACTCAAGATATCTCGTTTCTGCATTAGGACATTTTTGACACTAGATGTTGCTAGTCGGCATAATTTTTATATTAAAACTAACTTCTAAAATATAATTTTTTTTTGTTTTTACATTTATTAATTATCTATTTTGTTTGTGTGAAATAAAAAAAATAATTTTGGATGATACAATAGCCATGATAATTTTTTTCTAAAATGTGGAATTTTCGTTAGGCTTAACATTAACAAAGATTCAACGTGGAGCGACATGTGATGGAAAAAATTTAAACATGGGATAGGNTTTTATGGATAAATACAAGATGAAATTAAGGTAATTTTTTAAATAATAATAATAATATAACAACTAATTAAGCTAATTATAATATAAATATAAATATAAAAATTGTCTAAGTGTTTGGTAGTATGCTGCTATTTCTTCTTGTTCTTTAAACAAATTTAATGTTTTGGACACTTTCCTATTTCAACCCTTAACTGTTAATTGTTATTATAATTTGTATATCTATAGTTGTGAGGTTTTGCTGTTTATTGGGCTGCAATTTGAAAAAAGTGTAGACCTATAAATTTCCACTGTTCCTCTGTCCATCTCTTTCCTTAATCTCAAGAATGGTGTTAGATAAATGAAATTCAAGACCAGATATGGAAAGCTTAGGGCAGTGGGCCCCAATTAACTATATAAACTTTCAATGCAAATCAGAAATCACATTATTTCAATTAAAAAATCTTGTCCTGAAAGGAGTTAGCAATGTAATCATGCTGGGCATCTCTCTAACAGAAAAGTACGATTTACAGAGGTAAGACACTACAGTACTATTTTCAGGTGGACAGCATATATTTTAAATTAAATAAATTTAAAATATTATTAAAAATTACAGCCCAGCATTGTGATGATGTCAATAAATAATTGCTTGTTAAGTATAGATTAAATTACATCTGGTGTATTCAAAATCTCAACCAAGAAAAAAAAAGTTGACTTGTCTTTCCCCAAGACAAGTTTCAAATGGCTAAATGGTGGAGAGTGACAATTTTCATTCACAGTTAGCAGATTATTTATTAATCCATTCTTATAAAGAATTTACAAAACACATTATCTCTCTTGTAAAACATAAAATCACCTCAGTTTCACCTGATGAATTAAATATGGCTTTGATCTTTGTATTTGATAAATGACCTTGACCTTGTCATGTTTGTCTAACTGGAATGACTTTGACATGTTACAAAAGATTGGAAAAGTTTAATAATCTATGACATATTCAAAGGTTGATGTCTGGTTCTCTTATTTTTTCCTTTTTTGTTATTTTTTCTATTTTTGGGTAAAAGAAAATGGATGACACAGTCAACTGTTATCTCGGATGATTGTTTTAACCTGCAGAATAACTTTTGCATGGAAAATTAGATTAAACTTAGGACTTGGTTTTTGGTTAAAATGAAATTAAATTATGTTTGTTTAAATTCATAAAAATTCTCTAATAAATTCAGATCCTCACATAAGTATTTTAAGTGAAACAGAAGTAGAAAATTAAACATTAAAATACAACCAGTCTTATTTATCAGTTAACTGTATGATTAACATCAAGTCCATTTGTGTAATGTGGTTCTTAATATTTATGATTTTTATTAGACATTAGAATATCACTGGTTTAAATTTATATTTTAAGCATAAAAATTGTATAGTCTTTAATTTTGTGAATTTTTTTCCGTTAATAATAATAATAATATATAATAAAACAGTAATTTTGTTAAATGAAGCATGCAATGCCATAATGTTGTAAATGTCAAAAAAACTTTCAAGAAAAGGTAAAAAACACTTTTTCTAGTGAATGAATTCATTTTAATTTTACAATAAAATGGTAAAAACTTTCTAGGTTACAAATTGTATGAAATATCAAAATGATGTAAATATAAGCTGTAACATTTTAATCACCAAAGTCATGTGACTTGCACTTTGGCACTAATTTGTTCCCCAGTATTCCCAAAATATTTTGAGTCAAAACATAATCACCTTGACCTATGGACTCAAGATATCTCGTTTCTGCATTAGGACATTTTTGACACTAGATGTTGCTAGTCGGCATAATTTTTATATTAAAACTAACTTCTAAAATATAATTTTTTTTTGTTTTTACATTTATTAATTATCTATTTTGTTTGTGTGAAATAAAAAAAATAATTTTGGATGATACAATAGCCATGATAATTTTTTTCTAAAATGTGGAATTTTCGTTAGGCTTAACATTAACAAAGATTCAACGTGGAGCGACATGTGATGGAAAAAATTTAAACATGGGATAGGTTAAATGTTATGTCTTCATATAAATTCAACATCAAAATACAGCCACTTACAGTGCCAGTATTGCTACAATATTTATTTTCAGTAGAAAACATTGCATTTATAATTCAATTCTTCAATAAAATGTATTTAGAGAAAAATGTCATTTACAATGTTATGGCATTGCCTTCTTCAAATATTTATATTTTTATTTTGTTAATAATTGTAATAATTAAAATAAATGTGTGTGTAATTAATATTGCTTACTATTTTCAGCTATATTTTTATAATTTTGCACAATATATTTGTAATATCGTAAAAAAAAGTTCAAATTTTTAAAAAATGACAAGAATACTGGAATTCTGATACATATTTTTCAAATTTTAGGTTGGGTCCAAATAGCTCATTAATGTAATGCTGTGATTATTTTAAAAAGTAATGAGAGGTTATTCAAAAAATAAATTTGTTTTGAATTTGGATAGCAAGTTATATATTACCTAAATTAGTAGTGAAAATTAAAGAAATGAAAAACTTAAAACATGCTGGGCTCACAATACAAAACAAAAAGTAATTTTAAAAATCAGTAACTTTTTTTTAAGTTTAAAATTGCAATTATATTATATTATATTATTATTTAGGATAGGTAAGACTTGAAGCTTGTGGCAGCAGTTCTTTTCAAGATTGAAACAGATGTTTGTCTAAATTTATTTCTGTTGCATATACTGATGTAAGATACAAGTAAAATAATGACTTTATTGAAACTATTAAGTCACTTTCTATAAAATTAAGTTTTAATGAATTAAAGAAAAGACATACACAACATTTTTTTTTAAATTCAGAAAAAACAAGATAATTTTGACAATTGGTAGCTAATGTTATAATTCTGTTAAATGGAATTTTTATTGGATTTAGTATAACAACAACTCCAGCTAATTTTTCAAACCAAAAAGTAATGAACAGTCAAAAAAAACTTTTACCATCCATGATCCAAGTTATCTAAACTACTTGCAACAGATTTTGATTTCTTAATAATAAAAGCTTAAAACAGATTTTACAAAAGCTGAGAATCATCTGAATCCTTAAATATTTATATTCATGTATAAAATCACAAGCAAAATTACCTCTGGCATAAATATGAAAATTAAACTTTTTATTTTACATGGCTTTTCTGTATTTTTTTGGTTTTTTGTAAAAAAAAAAATGCATATCATTAGTATACATTATTTTCCAACAACTTTGTATTCACCTATTATGTAAATTTTGGTAACTAGGATTTGACATTTGCTAAAGCCATCTGTATTAACAATATGTCACTGAAAGGAAAAGTCCTTTTTCCTTTTACTGATATATTAATTCATCTAAAATTTCTAGTTTAGATGTAAATATGATTGGATTGGATAATAACCTTATATAAAGTTATTATCCAATCTAATCCAATTAACCTTTATTAACAAAAAGGAAAGTTTTCCTATTACAAGGGGGTAGTACAGTACATATGTTAAGTAGAGATTTATGAAAATATTGGAACAACTTTCAAGTTGTTACACTTATACAATTATTTTACAGTCAGTTTCATATAAGCCTGTATTAAATATAAACAAAAAGATCAGTATTATCAGAGGTAACAATACAGAGACAGTTACTTAATATAAACACACATAAAAACCTTTACTTGACCAGTAAAAATATATTTAATGAAAACAACAAACGTTTTCGACTGCCTTCCTCAGTCTTCCTCAGGTTTTAAATTCTGATATTCGAAAATCGTTGTGCTTAAATATTTAAACATTTTGGAACATATACATCTTTGCGAATAAAATTCATTACGCGCATGCGTATTAATCATTACGTACGTGAACCCAAATATTCACAAATATTATTTTACATATACATGTAAACGATGTATAACACCTTACATAGAGTTGTGGGGGCATTCTGCTTCATACACAAACCTCCAAGCTGCCGAAATATTAATAGCATCTTTATAGTTGATACAGCTATTACGTAATCCTGCTTTATAAATTTCCAAAGCTTCTAGCGTTCGTACGTGTTCTCTTCTGTGTGACATTTTAATGATTTGCGCGTTCTGCAAGTTAGCACTTATGCCAGGGGTCGAAGCATACGTAGATAGGGCAGTGGTGCATCTGTTGTATCAACTATAAAGATGCTATTAATATTTCGGCAGCTTGGAGGTTTGCGTATGAAGCAGAATGCCCCCACAACTCTATGTAAGGTGTTATACATCGTTTACATGTATATGTAAAATAATATTTGTGAATATTTGGGTTCACGTACGTAATGATTAATACGCATGCGCGTAATGAATTTTATTCGCAAAGATGTATATGTTCCAAAATGTTTAAATATTTAAGCACAACGATTTTCGAATATCAGAATTTAAAACCTGAGGAAGACTGAGGAAGGCAGTCGAAAACGTTTGTTGTTTTCATTAAATATATTTTTACTGGTCAAGTAAAGGTTTTTATGTGTGTTTATATTAAGTAAAAATTGGACCAGTACCAGGTGAGAAGTAACTTTTACAGAGACAGTTAATTTTTATACAATAATAATACACGTGGAATTCCATTAACTTAGATTTTTAATATTTCTGCGATTTTGATGAAGTAGTTATATAATTTATAAATATCTTTTTTTATTGAGATTATTTAAGTTTTTTCTAAATTCGAGAGGTGAACTGCAATGGAGCATCTGCATAATGTCATGAGTCATGCATACTTGCAAAGCTTTAGCAATTCTGTAATAGATGATACATCGAGAATATCTCAGATTTATACCAAATACATTGAGTATTTGAAACTTTAAGTGTTACTGATAAAAAGTGAGTATTTGTTGAGATGTAATTGAATAATTAATGTTTTCATGATGAAGTTTATGGGTTTGATAATGTACAGTTGAGAAGATGGAATATGTAATAAATTTATATACCAAGGGTGATAATTGCTTTGATTTAGGTTAGTTTGGTCTTACACTATTACACTATGGTTATACACTATTAATAGAATCTGCAATATCTCAGTCTATAAACTGAGATATTGCAGATTCTATTAATAGTGTATAACCATATTTCCAATCCTGAAGATTATCTTAAAACATCAAATCTGATACTCCAAATGAATTCAAAATTCTGTGGAACTTAGTTTGCCAAAGCTGTTCTATTCTTAAATTTTTACTTTTTTTGGTTATTTCTTGATGTGAAAAGGTTACTTTTAAATTTCAGACGGTAATAGAATTTAATTATTTGTTTAAGAAAAAAGGGAAAGACCATATGCAGTTGGTTTCATGGCGTGTGGCATAACTGGGAACAGACCTTTCTAAGTGAAATAATTTACGAAGGAAATAATTATGGAAGCATTCAAGTTTATACAGATAGTCTAGACCCCAGATTGGACTTGCATAATAAATGACTGGATTGATTATTGAGTTATAAAGTTTCATATGAATGTACAGGTTTGTAGTTGTCAGAGTTGAACTTAAAAACAACTGATTGTCAATTGCCTGCTTCACTTTGTTATTAATAGTAGAGATATGTGCTTTAAAGGTGGTGTTCCAGTTAAATGTGACTCAGAAGGTTACTTCTTTTACTGTTTGTAGAAGGGTGTTGTTTAAATACAATTTTTATTTTTTTTTTTCTGAAATTTTACTATTGTTGCAAAGTATGATAACCTTTGTTTTTTCAGAATCTATCGTTAAGTGAATCAATTTGAAATATAAATTTAATTGATTGATTTTCCTTTGTAGAGAGATTTGGTTGGTGCTAGAATGACCAAATCATCTGTATATTTAACATAATGAAAGACTCTATTAACAACTTCAATAATATCAGTAGATTGGTAAAAAAAGATGGTCTATTTTAGTAAATAAAAATAAGTAAGGTGAAAGGTGGTCACTCTAGAGTATGCCACGTGATAGTTCAAATGGAGGAGATATAGTTTTACCCTGTTTAATTTTCATATTGTATTTTGAGAACAGTTTTAGTATTGATGAAAATCATACACTGCCACCTCTAGCCCTCAAATTATTTACCAATAAGGGAACATAGACTGAATCAAAGGCTTTCTGAATATCTATGAATGACGCATATACTTTTCTGTGTTTTATTGTTAGATGTAGTTACATTATTGATAGTAGAAGGAAGATTGCAGATTCTTTTCCCTTATTTTGATATAGGCATATTGAAATTTGGCATCTAGATCCATTACTTTAGTCTATTGTTGGAATTTAGTAGCTAGTATTGTCATAAAGCATTTTCTCAGAGTTGAGAGCAGAGCAATAGGTCTATAATTGTTTGAAGAGAGATGATCTCCCTTTTTATGTGTCATTGTAATTATAACGGAGTTCCAAGAGTCTGGGTATAGAATTACTTTGTATATTGAGTTAAATAAATTTAATAATTTTATTCTTGCTTGGTAGGGAAGCATCTTCAGGAATTTGGTTGGAATGTAGTCGCTATCCGGGGTTGAATTATTTCTAGTTTTATTGATAGCATCTTCTAATTCGTTAATTGTGAATTTGGAGTCTAAATATTCATTGTAAGAATCAGTATTAGACATTAGTGATGAAATTGGTTGAATATCTGGTTAAAAATTTTCCATATTTCATAGTTTATTATTGAGGAATTTTCACTTAGATTTATATTGAAATGAAATTTCCATATTGTGGTCCAAAACAATTTACTGTTCTTGCTATTATTGATTAAGGTTAATTCGAGATTTCTAAAGTAATTTTTCTTTTTGACCTTGAGTAAGTTATAAGTCTGTTTGGCCTTCCTATAGTTGATGAAATTTACATCATTTGAGTCTTTTCTAAATACTTTTAAGTTGGTTTGTTTTATATTTTAAGATATTTTGAATTAGAGAGTTGGGGCCACCATATCTGGAGTCCAGCAATTTGGCAATATCCCAGTAATAGAATATATGGAGTGATATATTGCCACAATTCTATTATTTTAAAAGTATCATTTAGTTTTGCTAGGCATTCAGGGGGAATATAGGTGATCATCACTATCATTAATTTGTTATTTATACTTCCAAGTATGGGTTTGAGATTAGTAGTAGTATGAAATTATCAGATTTTTCAATTTGAAGTATTTTACAGAGGTCCTTGTTTATTAAAATACATAGGCCACCGCTTGGATATCCTGGTTTTAATGATTTGCGTGCCAATGCTATTTCTATTATAAATTTATTGAAAAAATTTTATTTATAAAACAGATCAGATGTTATCCACATTTTGGTTATACCGATTATATCTGATTTAAATTTTGATTGCAGGGAGTTAAGTAAAGGTATTTTGTTTTTGAAACCTTGACTGTTCCAATTCATAACCAAAAATAATTGATTGTTTATGGTAAATTTTTCTTGATGAAGTTTGCTTTTTTTCATTAAATATCAACTTGCCATTACCTTTGACAAGGAAAAAGGCAGAAAAGTCTCCACATAAACCAGCTTTCCTGAGCCAATACTATATGTTAGTCTATGTTGACTTATTAATAAAGTGTCATTATGTAGTTTAGTTTGATGGATTTGTTTTCTTATTTTATAAAAAAAATGGGAGTAATTGTTTTCTTCTAGTTCGTGATTCCTTTATTAGATCTGGTGAAATCTACGTATCTTTCAATATTTTGTTGTTTCTTTTTTATAAAGGTCATAAAGTTATGATCTTGGATCTGATTATTTCTTAGTGTTAATCTTATAACTGGATGTGTTGACTTGGTTAGTTGAGTTATTTCTAAAACATCTTCCTGTGATACATTTTGTAAATTTAATGATGAATTAATAAAATTATAAATTTCTGATTTGGAGATATTTTTTGAATTGGGATAGTTATATACTATTATATTATTATGGTGGAGTTCATTAACTAAAGCATTCATTTTGTATTGCATAATTTCTTTTTTCATTTTTAAATTATTGATTTGTTGTTTTAAATTATTAATTTGCACTTCCATTTTTTAGTATTGTTCTTTGGTTTCATGAATACTTGCATGAATAAGATCCAGGTCTTCTTTTATGGAGGTCATTTGGTTAGAAAGTTTATCATTGGAGGTGTTTATTAGTTCAGAGGTTTTATTCCATAAAACTGTTGTTGGGGAGTTGCTTGAGTTAGTTAATGAGATAGGACAAAGTACATTTAACTCATCTGAAAGTTTTTATGGACTTTGTGATATTATATCAAAATATGGATCAATAGCAGCTGAGGGTAATTCTTGTGAGTCTTTATTCACATGTAAGTTGTTGTCTGTTATAAGTTTGGAGTTAGACAAAATTGATAGGTCTTTTTTACTTCCCAGTTTACTGCAATTTAATGGTGGTCTCCCACACTTTATCGGTGAACATTGCATTTTGGTTAATATTTAGTATTTTTTCAAAGAATATTAAGTTATATTTTATAATATATGGTTTTACATTGATATTTTTCATGTACTCTAGCTTTTATTATTTTGCATTTCAGGTATCCTTATTTACCATGTTTGCAAGTAGGTCAGGAGCATAAACATACATATTTGCCACTTGAGGTAAGAAATTTTAATTGATTTATTTTATTTGATAAAGTAATTACAGTAGAGCATTGATTATAAGATCCCTGATCAACTGTCACATCAGTTAACTGACCATTCTAGTCGGCAATTTCAATTGTCAGCTAGTGATGTGGCGCTACAATATTTGGCTATGTCTTGGCTACTTTAATATTATTTTTGTTAAATTTTTGCGTGTTTTAGCTGGCAACATTGGCTCGACCATGAAAGGGAGGCCAGTATTTAAACGAGGCTTAATTTTCTAATTATGAGTGGTTGTTTGTTTTGTGAGCAATAAAATAATTTAAAAATAATTTTTAACGATACAATAGCGACGATTATTATCTTAAAAAATTTTGTTAGTCTTAACATCGATGAAAATTCAATGTGAAATAGATTAATAGCAATATACTAATTACATGGAATATACTAATATACTATACTAATAATATATTTTTTCATACTTTTCGATTATCCGTTTTTTCAGTTATCCGACCAACCTGAGTTCTCAATTGAGTCAGATAATTGATGCTCCGCTGTATTAAATTTTTAATGATTGTCAGCATTGTCTATATTTTTGATTTCTTATTTTTCATTAAATAAAGTATTAAATTTTATAATAATAAACTTAATTTTTATTTTCTTTTAATATTCTTCTGACATCAGTTGGTTAAAAATGTGTGTAAATATTTGACTCAATGATTTGAATTGTAAACATTATTGTTCACTGTGAACATAAGAAAATTTATAAAAACCAATAACGTTTTATAAATATACAATCTCCACTTTATTCTGAATATTTGTAAAATTGTAAAATTGATTGTAAAAAGGATGATTTAGAAATACGGTAGAACCTTGATTATCTGGATTGTTCAAAATAAACAAAAATTTTATGAATTTGCTGATTTGCACTTGGTGAATTATGACACTGTTTATGTACGTGATGGAATGCATAACATTTTTTGTTTCAACAATGTCTCACCCGGCACAGTGGTCGTAAACTCTTAAATATATTTTGCGTCATAATAAAAATATAATTTGACATACGTATTTATAAATAATTTTATTTTCAAATTACATCATTTCTATGACCAAGGGCAGCGTAAGGCATGGTCAATGTGGGCCACTGCCTATGCCTCGTGGTCCGAAGGCCCTCGCGTTTTGAAGGTTTATGTATTACTTAAAAGCCGCAAACGCGAAGAAAAAATTTTACTCGTCATAAAATGATAAATAGTTTGACAAATTTTTATTCATAAAAATGCAGTTTCAACTGCTTTTTATTTTATAAAATCTGTCTTCTTGCGCCACCATAGGGCCTTTTAAACAATAGGTAGTCTGTTAGCATTGGTCAGTAGTAGTCCAAATTCAATACGAACATTTATTTCTTGAAAATTTGATCACAATTTAAATACAGTATTTATTTTTAATATTACCGATACGTCATCGAAAAGAAAACGTGTTGTACTATCATTAAAAGACAAATTAAAGTATTTGTTTCGATTATCTGAATTTTTCCTTATCTGAACTACCTTCATGCCCAATTAGTCCAGATAATCGAGGTTCTACTGTATTTTAACTGAAGATGATTCTCTGCAATCCTTAAGATTTTGAAAATGTGATTCAAATACAAACATAATTATTCTATGATTATTGTTATATTGAAGACAACAGCAACAAAAATTTTTTTTGCTATTTAGATAATTCATATATTTTCCAGAGAGTATAAAATATAAAAGCAAAACTACTGGCTTTATTTGATTTCACTGTGTAAGTAATAAATAGAAAATTTGTTACTTACACAGTTGACATAATTTCAGTTGAAACCATGGTTGTCATAGGAAGTTGTTGATCTTAGCAAAGTGTAAGTGCATTAAATGATTCAGTAATTATTTATATTTTGATATTTTTTTCTGTTTCTAGCTAAGCATTTGAAAAACTAAAGCAAAGATAAGTTAGCTAAAGTAACAAACAATTTATTATTATTTTACATAATAAAAATATGTCCGCAGAAATTTTTTAATTGATTATATTGCAAAAATTAACAAATTTTTAAAATTTATTCAGCAAATTTAGAATTTATGATAAATTTAGAGTGTAAATAATATTTTTAAAAAAGTTTTTTTTTAAACTTTTTATTTTATTTTACACTTTTAATAGAAAGATACTGTGAGTTATTTTTTCAAATATTTGCTATCCATACTCATTAGCTATCTTTTTCAATAACCAATGGAAATGGACAGAAAATAATGTATAATTACAATTCAAATAATCTAATCATAATTCTATCTTAGTTATACAGTTTTAAATTAAATTGAAAGTATCTTTCAGTATAGTAAATAAAACAAAACATTTTTCTTTGCTTATTATTTTGAACTTTGAGATTAGTTAAAAAAATATTAAGATTTATAAATAATATATTCAGATGATGAAAACAGTAGAAGTTTTATATTTTCAGGTTACATTCTGAAAAAATTGCAACAAATATAATAATAATAATAATAATAATAATCATTTATTAGTCATATTAGGCAAAAGCCTGTTATTACAGGGAGTTATNGTGCTACTCTTTTGGATTCCAATTGGTAAACTCTATTTTCTTCTTTCAGATAATTAACTTCTGATTTGATATTTTGTAATTCGATGTTTAGTTGATTAAATTTTTCTTGAATCAAATCGTATATGGACTTCAACGAATATTTTTGTTCTTCTGTTGTTGGAGTGTCTGCTCCCTGGACCGTATGAAAGTAGTCTTGTATTTTTGGAGTTCTCTCTTCGTTTAATTCCTCTCTATCATACTCCTGTTCTTCAGGCAGAATTTCTTGACTGGAATTAGTCCCAGATATTCTTATTTTTTCTGTGGCTTTAGGAATGACACTACGCGGCCTCCCACGCCCCTTCTTTTGCATATCTGTGTGGCCGCCACGTTGAGGAGATCTAGGCAGAGGTCCTGGATTAGGTTCTATACCAGAAATAAGTAATAGGTATACTATTACCAGCCAAGAAGAATATTTGTTATACTTCCGCTTAAATTGAGGTAATATTTCCCTCCAAAAGTGAATCATTATCACAATATGTTGTATCAACTCTTCTCCTGAGATTATCGCGCCAACACCTTCGACAGTCGAGACACTCCCCCGCAACAAATATAGAAAAGATAAATACATTGAAAAAATATATAATTGTATGAAAATGTGATTTTATTTTCTAAAGAAATTTTTTATTTTATTTCAAGTAAAAATTAAAAAATAATTATTATATCTTGAATGTACTTGTTTTAGTTTCATAAAAAAATTAATTTTTGTTTTGTCTTTGTTTGGAAGTCATACAACAGTTTATAGTAACATTATGTTCATTCAATTTTTCTCTTGAATTTTAGACTCCTGCCTACAATCTTTACATTATGCATAGCATTCCTTTTAAATTTTTGAAACCCTCCTTCAGAAGCATTGTGCGAATTTAAACATATTTGTTCTAGATTAATAGATTAGTTCTTTTATTAGCCATAGAAAAACAATAATTTTTTTTTGTGATCTGTTTTTTTCTGATAAATCTTTGACACTGTTTGAAGTTTTCTCTTTTAGAGTAAGATGATGCTACTACATTTCTAATTTTTTTTTTTTTTTTTGTTCTTGATATATGGTTGATTCATGGGAGCAAGCAACTATAGTTGTTTATTTTTCCTGCAGATAATCCAATCACTAAATTTTGTCTTGGAGAGGCATACCTTTCTTTATCTTTTTTTAATATTTTGCTACTAGAGTCTTTTTGTTCAGATGTTTGTTAGGAAAACTAACTAAAATTGTTTGAAAAACATACACATTCACATTGCACACTATTAATAACATAAAATCATGTTTATCATCTGTATAAGTGCATGTGCTAAGATAATTCTAGAAAGTATGGAACAACACTAATGCAATCTAATAAGTCAATAATATAAATTGATTAGAGAATGTATAAGGTAAGTGTTAAAAATTGTTTAATCTCTTACCTGTTACTGTTGTTTTTGTTAATTGTTTTGTAAATATGCAAATAATTATATAACTAAAAATATTTAAGAATTGAAAATTTTGTATTTATTAAATATATTGTCATTATTTATATAAAATATTTAGCTATTATACAAAAAATTTAAAAATAAAGCATAATTAAAAAAATGAATTTTGAGCTACTATAAGTATCTGTTGTCATAAATATTTAATAGATTAAAAATTTGCTTTTTCAGTTTAAAGTTAAACAGAAAATAAATTTACTTTTGGTTTGTTTTATTTTTAATTTTAAAATTTTTAATTAAGGAATAAACCTATATCTTTTGATATAGAAGAAACAAATAAATAAATGTAAAAACATGCATTAAATTCGTGAGTTTTTGTCAGATATAGTAGGACTCATGTTATGCAGACTTGACACATGGTTTTAGGTTTACAATATTGGCAATCTGAAAAAAAAATAGAAAATATGTAAAATAAAAATTCTTAATTGAATGCTAAATCTGTGCCATTTTCCAAGAAGTGTGAGAAGTCTTGCAGCATCTTGCTCATTCATGCTCATAATAATGCGTTCCCAGAATAAAAATAACTCATTTTTGTTTTGCGTTAAAACACTAGGACCTACCTCAGTCTTTGTCTGGTAGTGCTGCTACTCCTGCATAATTTAACTGCCATAGGAGTAAAATGCAGATACTGAGAAATTGGCATGTATTTGCAGATATGAAATAACAGAAAAACTGAATTTTTTTAAAAAATTCATTACTCTTGAAGTAGATATTGTGGAGAATGCCTACTGACAACATTGCTGTCTGGTATTCTCATTTGTAATACATCATGTCCATATGATATCAGTGGTTCTCTTTGTCTCATTTATACAAATTTGTAAACATGAGAGATAGAGAATATTAAGGTTTTTTAAAGGTATTTTTATGATTTATGGTATCATGCTATTTATTGTTAATATAGTGTTTACTGGTATTTGTTTTATTTTATATAAAAAATATATGTGATAGGTAGGCTTGTTTATGAAGTACTTAATAATTAATGGGATTTTGCTACATAATGCAAATTTCAATTTATGCAAGGGATCTTTGAACATGCTTATGGTAGTGACCTGCTATACATATCTAGCTTTATGTTAGAGCTATCTATAAATGCAGTTATTTTAATATCTTAATGTTTATTATTGTATTTTGAATTTATACAAATAGAAATAATAGTTTTTCTTATTTTGAATCAGTATTTTTATATTTAGATTTTGCTAGACAATAGAATAATTACTGTAAAGTTATTTTTATAATGTATTACAGAAATAAGACACGAATTTGATGGAAGTTGTTTAAATTGGAAAAATATTTCAATTTGCTTTTGCTTCTATATGTATATTATATAAGCATACAGACAAATAGATTTGAATTTCAAATAAATTTATTTTAAAAGATTTCAGTTAAGAAGTATGTTTATACTATATCAATTAAATCTTATTATGAAATTCTATTTCTTAATTGTATTTCCTCTCCTTATTGAAATTATCATAATTTGAATTAGATTTTTTGAAAGATTTGAATATTTTGAAAATAGATTACAATAATTTTAATTGTGTTGTTATTGTTTTAGATAGCTTTTATGAATGTATATGTTGATAGTGATTAACTAACTTTTGCTATTATTGTTAGGTTTGCAATATTGTAGCTGGTCAGAGGTGCATTAAAAAATTAACTGACATGCAGACTTCAACAATGATTAAAGTAAGTAATTATTCTAAATAAGTGATAAAAGTTGATTTTTTTTACTTTTATTTTGATAAGTTTAATGTTTCAGATTTGATGGAAATAACAGAATAAAATTACCAAATGAGTTTTTAAAATTAATATTGTATTGAAATAAAGTGAATAGAGTGAATTTGGCACTAAAAGAAAAATTAAGTTTTAGAATTTCATTCATGTATGAAACTGTTCTTTTATAAAACTATTAAATTTACATTTGTTTTAACATTTTATTCAAGATATTGAATTTATAACACTGGCATGTATTCAGTTTAAAGTTATCTTTTTATTTTTTTTATTCTTAACTTATTTTAAAAGAAGTAAAGTGCACTTGAAAATATTTGCAAGCTATAAATCACGTATTCATTTTGTATGTACAATTATACATTCCTATTACATTCAGAAATATTTCTGAAAATTATTACTTTTTATTAAGTTATTATATTCAGACATGATTTATACTGTTGAACCTGTCTATGTTAATCTCACAGAACAAGAAAAAAAATTGAAATGAAGAGGTTTTGAGATATAAAGGGTCCTACACAGTAAACAGTAATAAGTTTGATTAGAGGTATGATATCTTATTAATACAATAACAAGTATAGTACAGACTTGTATCAGGTATAAATAAAACATTTTTGACATACCTTAATAGAAATAGTGTCAATAGTTTCTGATGCATGACTCTTCAACCAATAATACTCAAGCCAAACTCAGCCAATCAGAGAAAAACAGTGTTAATTGCAGCTATATACTGTATTGCAAGAGCTATTTCTCAACTTCAGTTTATACTATCAGAATGTAGTTGCTGAGCTTTAAATTTATAATTGACACTTCAGTCCATAATTTGAGATATAATGCTTTGGAAGAAAATTACATGAGATAAACATGAAAAATGCTGAAAATGCAGGAGGAAAACTAATTTCAAGATAAAGTGGTTTTTAAGTAAACATATTTGAGACAGACAAATCCAATTGTGTTTCATTTTAAAAAACATTAAAAAAACAAATAATAATCTTACTTTTTTCAGTTAAAAAAAATAGAGGATGGTAATTTAGTGTGCTATGCAGTTTAAAAGTATGAAATGAATCTTAACTGAATGTTATAACTTTTCAGTCGTGTATGTAACTTTGTGTGTGCATTCATAACTTCAAATTGTTATATATATATAAAACAATTTGTGTGTGTGTGTATGTGTATATACAGTGGAAACTGCTTAGGTGACCACCTGCATTCGAAGGTCACCTGTCAAAACAGGCAAAAAAAATTTATGGCACCGAATAGTTTATCCATAGAGTCTTTGTTTAAGTTATCTGTATTAAACAACCACCTGTGTAACGCAATCGCTGGCATCGATTTTTTTTATCCGAAACAACATACAACAACTGTAATAAGCGGCCACTTCTGCGAATATATCTGGTCTAACTGTATATGTTATAGCCACTGTATATGTTAGGAAGGCATAAGAATTTTAGAAAGGCTTAAGTGGGGCATAGCACAAAAAAGGTTGGGAAACACTGGTCTAAACTCTCATTCAAACCCACCTCGGGCACATCTCCCGCCCTTCAAATTAGGTGCAGGTGTTAATGAATTTGTCTAGCAACAAAGGAAATTCATTTCAGTTTGTTTGAAATTGTCTGAAAAATGAAAGAAATGCAAAGTGCTGTTGTTAGAAGATTGTGTTAAAGTTATCACAACAGCAATTAGCGGCGAAGTTTAACTGGGAAAAGAACTCGATTTTACCGTAGACCTACAGTATTTTCCTTGGGAGTGTAAAATATTGTACATGATACAATTAATTGGCTGATCTCATTGTTTGATAAAATTTATTTTTATTTATTTATTTATTTATTTTGAAGCTCGTATACAGTACGTGTGCAATACATAATTTCTGTATCAACCTACCTTATTTTCATGTTATTTTTAGAAAAATAATATCCAAGTAATTTTTGCACGCAAAATATTAAAAAAAAATAAACGCATTAATGCAAAAATCAGTTTTACAGGCAGCCTTCCTTTTTTGATTCTGCAATGACAATCGCATTTTATTATTAATTAATAATTTTTCTTATTGTACTTAAGAAAATATTAAATATTAAAAAATACAGTATTTTTAAAGTTAAAATAAGATTAAACTAATGAATGAAACTAATGAAACCAAAGTGAGGTAGAGATACAATGCGCTTGTATATCAATGACATAATACACGGTTGTTTTTGTTCACTCCTCAGTTACGAGTTGAATTAATTAAGTCAGAAAAAAGAAAGTGTGCATTATAATCAAGAAAATGGGACTATTGTATTAATCTTTAAAATATTGGTATTAAATCTGTTTTATAAAATCACGACGACTCCTGTAAATCGAGTTATCCGATAAGAATAAAATACAATACCAATATCCAATACCCTATCGTTGAAAAAATTCGCTTATTTTTGCTCACCTCGAGTTTTGCTTAGTAGAAATGGCTAAAAAGTGTGCAAAATATGTACAGAAATACGGTATTACAGCACCGCTTGTATTGGACGACCACCTGTCTAAAAGACTACTTTTTAAGGAACCGTGGGTGGTTGCCATAGACATGTATATATCTTACAATAAATACATACATACATTTATTCATTCGTTATCAACTGAATTTCAATTAATAATTAATTTTTTTTCTTAGGCAACAGCTAGATCAGCCCCAGATCGTGAAAGAGAAATTAACAATTTGGTAAGAGATTTAGTATGCCAGATTTCATAAAATTTATTTTACATGATAGATATGGTGTTATAAATAACTTTTCTGGAGAATGTTTGTTAATAAATAAGAACTATAAATACAAAGTATTGTTATGTTTTATATATTAATTAAACTACTGTTATATTGCATTTTTTTATATATTTTTGAAATAGTTTATTTACATACTCCTCAAAAGTGAAATTGTAACACCATTAAGGAATGTACATCATCACATGAAAATTGCAGAACCAGTAGAGGTGATGGAGATATGCAAATGATTAAGTTTGCATATGCATTGGATCATGTGGTATCTAGTTTTGGGCTATAACACTAGCAGCTGATTTGGGCCATAAATGTTATCAGTGATGGTTTAAATGAACTGAACTTTCAAAGAAGCATAGAAAATGACAGTAAGCTGAATACCACCAGTTAACAGCTGAAGAACAAGACTGTATCATGAAGCTGCACAATTTTGGTTTGTCAGTGTATGCAGTTGCCACGACAAACTGAGTTGGGCATGACTTGAGTACCACCCAGCAATGTGCAACATGATAGATGCTGGAACATCTACAAACACACCAAAGAAGGAGTGGATTTTTTCTGGAGATTTGCTGAACAGCTTGTCAGGACCCATTTATCACAGCATGTGACATCCAAAGTCACCTGTCACCATGGGTGCATATGTGTCCATCCAAACCAAACCATTCACAACAGGTAATATGAAGTCAAACTGCATGCATGGCAGTCATCAGTAGGAATGCCATTAACCACAGGGCTTGCACACCTGGCACAGTGGTTATTGTCATCACAACTGGACCACTGAATAGCATTGAGTATTGTTTACAGGTGAATCCCACTTCTGTTTGTGGAGGAATGATGGGTGTGGCAGTATTCTGGGGAATGCTATGTGCCAGTCTTTTCTCCAAGTATCACATTGGCTCCACATCAGGCATCATGTTTGATCAGTGGACAGCCCTGTTGCACATTTCTGGTGCTGTGACAGCAGACCAACATGCCACGAGAATTGTGAGGTCTGTGGTTTGGCCACTGGTGCAGGCTGCACCTGACACAATGTTCTAACAAGACAATGCCTGACTGCACATTACATGGTGAACTCTCATCAGCCTGAATGTAATTTACATCCATTCCTGGCCGGCAGCCTCATCTGATCTCTTATTCTCCCATCGAACACCTGTGGGACCTTGTCTGATGTGAGGTGCACCGGGGACCACTGCCAAATACCTTAGATGACATATACATCGTAGTGGAGATAGCTTGGCAAGAGGTACCTCAGACACTCATTAATTGCCACATTGATAGTTTGCCTTATCGTAAAGTGGCCTATATAGCTGCTTGAGGGGACCATATTCATTACTAATTAAACAGGTGTCTGTTGCATATCTTTATTCTTTTTATCATTTGCATATCTGTCCCTTCTACCTGTCCTGCAATGTACGTGTAGCCTATGTGCATTCCTTCATGGCATTGTAATTTCACTTTTGAGGAGTGTATATTAATTCAATTTCTCTTTTTAGGTTCGGAAAGCAGATTTTAATAATGATAAATATGTTAGAGAATTTGGTTTATCTATCAGTAATACTATGATGGAAGTGAGAGGAAGAATATTGCCTCCTCCTAAATTGCAGTATGGAGGACGGGTAAGTTTTTATTATGTTGTTAATCAGTTAGAATAATGCATTCAGTCTAAAAATGTATTTTAGATTTCAATAAATATGTGGAATGGTTATAAAATCAATTAGATTGTAAGATAGTCTAATAGAAAAATATTTTTAAATAATTATGAAATTATATATAAATTCTATTAAGAAATGAAATAATTTTCAGTTTCAAAAAGTTAAAATTGTTGTTAGTCCAAACAAAAACATTGTATCAATAGATGATTGTGCTTTCATTCTATTAGCTAATAATACAAAATTTTTGTGCAAAACACTATAAAAAGCCTAAATAGATTAGAAATTTCATGGAAAGTGTTTTATTAGTTTGAATAATTATCAGATATAGTAAATAAAATATTAAATCTGTGAATGTGACATGTCTTTATTTGTGTTGATTTGTATTCAAATTTGACAAATGAGCAAAAATTATAGTTATGATTTAAAAATTATAATAAAGGTGAAGCAATTTCTTTAATTGAAAATAAGAAGAAATATTAATGTTTATTTATATAAAGATTGAAGTTTGAAAAATAACATATGTATTGTATCTATCAGTTTTATAGTATTGATGTTTAATAGTTGTCTCCATTCAGTCAGAAATTAGTCTTATGAGACAGAGAGAGAATAAGTCAAATAAATAAAATTGGCTGAATCTTGAGAGAAGTGTTATCCAAAATCATATGTACAGTACTCGATGATGGAATGATTATAGATTACATAATTTTGGGACCACACTTTTCTGGTACTGGGTCTTTCTGAAACTCCTGAACTATTTGTAATACATAAACTAAATTTGCTATTATATTGCCCAAACAGAAAATTTAAAATTAACAATAGCTACTGGATGGGTAGAAAGTAACTAGGCATCACTATAATTTATATATTTCTAACAGAATGTGAAAATTATTTGACATATATCTTATTAAATGGAAATACAGAGCATACTTTAAAATTCAACATAGGCACCTTTGCCATCCACTAACAACATGTTTTCCCCAGATCATGATATGCAACTTGTCTGTTCCTCTGCAACTGAACTTGTGGTCATTAGCTTCAGATGACAATTCTTGATTGTTTCCGGATGTATTATGGTGTGATGTCCCTTTACCTTATATCACTTTCTCTTCATGGAAACTGCTTATTTCTACATCTCATAAAATGTAGAAAGCTGCTGTCATTCACGAACAGACAGTTGGTTAGCCATCTTTTTTTGCCATTGTGCATGCAGCTTTTTCCCACATCATTGTGCTGCTCACACCAATGACGTGGGAATTATAAAACTCTAATGATTATTACATGTGCGCACACATTTTATTGTGATTGCATTATTAATACAAAAATTATAGCAATTTTCCATCCATCCTGTATATATTTATATATATAATTAAATGCAAAACAAATTAAACCTGTATTTCTGTTGTGAATATACAAGGTATTTGTAAATATTCTTTATGATTTTGTCATTTCAGTTATACTCTGTCAAAACAGTTATTTAAACAAAAATTAATTCGAAAGAATTGTTAAATTTTGTTTGTGGTAATGTAAGTTGTATGAACTGGTCTTTATCAAATCCACAATGATAGCTGTGGATAGTTAATGTCAAAATTAGAGAGAACATTACAAACAAGATGTGCTCAGCATATTTCCACAATAATGAGAGGTTGTACAGTCGACTCCTATAACACTGTTGATAATTCCATTTTATATGAATTCCATGTTGTACGAGTCACTTAGATTTTACAAATACGTGAGCCATTCACAGCTACTGGATGGGTAGAAAGTAACTAGGCATCACTATAATTTATATATTTCTAACAGAATGTGAAAATTATTTGACATATATCTTATTAAATGGAAATACAGAGCATACTTTAAAATTCAACATAGGCACCTTTGCCATCCACTAACAACATGTTTTCCCCAGATCATGATATGCAACTTGTCTGTTCCTCTGCAACTGAACTTGTGGTCATTAGCTTCAGATGACAATTCTTGATTGTTTCCGGATGTATTATGGTGTGATGTCCCTTTACCTTATATCACTTTCTCTTCATGGAAACTGCTTATTTCTACATCTCATAAAATGTAGAAAGCTGCTGTCATTCACGAACAGACAGTTGGTTAGCCATCTTTTTTTGCCATTGTGCATGCAGCTTTTTCCCACATCATTGTGCTGCTCACACCAATGACGTGGGAATTATAAAACAGAATCAATATATATAAAGGATTGGATTGATGGTATAAAGCAATGCAACACATGGGCTATGTGCCAATGTGGGTGAAGTATCTCTTGGCAGGATTTTTATAGGAAACTGGTCCCTATTCAGGTGTTAGACACTTGAAGGAAATCTGAAACTCCATATGACTATCCTGTTAGTGAGGTGTGAATCCTCAACTGACTACCAGTGGTTTTATCCATTCAGCCATGGTGGATATGGGTTTTTACAAAGAACAACAGCTATGGATCCTCCATTATTGTTAGACAATTGAAGACATAAATGTTCTCCTGTGCCAGATTTATTATGAAATGCTGTGCAATGTGTAGGAACAAATTGAATATAATATATCATTCCAGCTCTTCATGATACTCATTGAATTTAACTAATTATTTTGTTTATATCCAAACATTTTTTTGAAGAATTTTTTCAATTGATGTTTAGTTCATAAGTATATTTTGCAGTAATGCTGAATAATAACATATCAAACTAGGAAAGAACATTTATGGACACTGTAAAATAATAGTTGAGCATTTAAAAGCAATACTAAAGATTTTCATGTAAATGATATAAAGTACGAAATAGATGCATTTTTCTCCATAACATGTTACAATAGTAAATAATTTATGTACAGTACTTTAAATCATGTAGTGTTTTGTTAAATGTTTTGATGATTTTTATTATCCAGTTTCAGATGATTTTTATTATCCAGTTTCAGATGATTTTTATTATTACATATTTTTAATTACTACTGAAAATTGAATAGAATATAAAACGTTTTATATTATTCTTCAAATTTTATTTGAGTTTTATTATTTTTAAGGAAATTATTTTAACATTGAGGTTGTTTCATTATGATTCACTATAAAATTATAGTCAGCCCTCGACTTCACTTTAAATTTTTTATGGTCTTGCTTAATAATTTGCCTTAGACTATAAAAATATATTTTTGAAATTTGAATTGTTTGATTTGAAAGTCAAATATTGAAGATTATAAGAAATAATTTTTTGCTAAAAGGTCAATATATTATCAGTTCAGATCTCAAGTATTAACTGATTCATTTATGAATAATTGAATTTAAGAGTAGATAGAAATAGTGATATTTGTATAGAAATCAAATATATACACTAACATTAACACTTAGTGACTAGTAAATGGAGTGAAAGTATAGCATGTTTCATTATAATCAGATCCTAATACTAAAACAGGACAGAAAAACCATAGCTGATAACTACAGCCCTCTCTTATTAAAATTGTGTCAAGAAATATGGATGAGCATTATTAGCAGTTTATTAATACATTATTAAGGGCATTAATATAATGGTGTAAAAAAAATACATACATGGGTAATCCCAAAAGTAAGGTTTCCTGTAACACTTATCTATTTTTCTACATAATCACCATTTCAGTCGATGCATTTTTGTAGGCACTGTGGCAGTTTTTATATGCCCCTGTCATACCAGCTTGCCGCCATGTCACAGGACCCATCTTGCACATACAGTCGTCCTCCCTATAACACTGTTGATTATTCCGTTTTATATGAATTCCATGTTGTACGAGTCACTTAGATTTTACAAATATGTGAGCCGTTCACAGCCCGGCACACATATTTGTAAAATCTAAGTGACTTCTACAACATGGAATTAATATAAAACGGAATAATCAATGGTGTTATAGGGGGTACCTTCCAATATTGCAACCAACTTTTCCATTAAAATCCTATGAATGATGCTTACAATATATAAAATTAAGTTGGGAGTACTTGTTTTCCTGCAAATATAATTTATCAACTTTCCATGTTAATAATAGCTTTGCAAAAATGTTAATATAAGTTCTTAAAATGAATATAAATTATAAACAATAGATTTTTGAATATTCTGTTAACATTTGTTAACTATATTTTAAGTGTTTTCTTTTATTTCATACCTGAATAATCCCATCACCTTGTTTTGTCATCTCTTATAGAATGTGAGTAATTACTTCTTTCTATATCATATTCTTGTTAATATTTATTTATATTTTTTCATAAATCATACTTTTTTAATAGACCAAACAACAAGCCATTCCCAATCAGGGTGTATGGGATATGAGAGGAAAACAATTTCATACAGGAGTCGAAATTAGAGTTTGGGCAATAGCTTGTTTTGCTCCACAACGTTCTTGTAGAGAAGATGCTCTAAGGTATTTTTAATTTAATTTTTACAATAATTTTTATTATTATTAAAATAATAATTTTAATTTTCTATAAATCTGTAATTTAAGTAATATATTACTATATAATTAATGTGTTACTTTTAAAGCATCTTTATGAAATACATTTTGTTTATGTAAGAAAATATTGTAAATATAGTTTAAATTACTATACATAAAAATAATTATTAAATGAAAAAATAAAAGTTTTGTTGTTGAATAACATGTGCTATTAGATAGCTAGTAGTATTTTAAACATAACACAAGAATCCACAAATGTAAAAAGTGAATTTCAGTTACCAAATCATATGTTATAAAGACATGATATAAAGAAACTGTTGAATGCATGATAGAAATAAAAATGAAGATTTTATTTTTCAAATTTTTGAAATGTTTATATCAGACTAGCATATGTACCTATTCTTTGTATTAGCATTAAAAAATACTGTTATAAGTATATTTATGTATCACACGTATAAAACCATAAATGGCTAACACTAAATTTTGTAATTTTTCAATAATTCCTATTATTGAATATTCCTATTTTGTTTAGCATGTTCTATTGTGGACCTTAATCAACTGTGTAAAATTCTAAACAATTAAATAATATAGCAAAATTTCAATGGGCAATCATCCATCAAAAATTTTCTACTTTTGATTGATCCAATTTTCAAATTCTGTATTCTGAAAATTGTGGTTCCAACAGTTAGCCCAGGCGTGGACAACAGTTTTTTCCCCCTGGGCCAAATTGGAAAGAGAACTTTTTTCACGGGTCGAACCAGAGGCTGCCCTAGGAAGATTTTGATGTGGTGCAAGATCTCATTGTGGTGTCACCCCGTAGAGACTAAATTGTACATAGAGATTACAGATACATTTTTCACATTATCATGCATTATCAACATTCTACACTGTACTTAAGAGATTTGTAATGGAAGTTAACTCTAAACGCACAGTGAGTTGTTGACCTTTTATTTTATTTTATTTTTAAGGCATCAGAATATTTCATCAAGCTATTTGGACTTGAGTATCTTATGTTGAGAGATTAATTGCAGGCCGCATAAATTCATTAGACGGGCCGTATGTTGGCCATGCCTGAGTTAGTCACTTATGGTTCTATACCAATGATGTATTGTATGAAAATTGAATTGAAGTTATAAAGAAATATGTAAACTGTATAGATTGAGAAATATAAGAATACACAACTCAAGTTTTATCCAATAGAAGTATTTTATAAGCTGACAAATGTTAGTTGTTTTCTGCTTTTGTTTTACATCTGACCTTGACATTTTTCAAATAGCTTTTAATCAAATATTTCTTTTTGATCACCATCTTTTTACTGTCTTTAAACATGTTTTTGCATTGCCACATTTTCAAAAATTGATGTCTGGTAGTCCAAATTTTTATTTATTTATTTTAAGCCTACCTACTTTAGCATGTGCTTTAATTTTTTTGCTGTAATGGAAAATAGCAAACTGTTTGAAAGGATGTTGTGCAATCATTTTGTAAAAAATTTTTGTGATTGAGAATTAAATAATATAAACCAGTTATAACATCATAATTTAATATGTTTATTATAAATTAATGATAGACAATACTACAGTATAAACTGTTCATGAGGTTTAAGAATTGCAGATGCATCGTTCTTGGCTATACCAATTTTACATAATAAAATGCTTGACTTTTTTGAGATATTGGAGTTTTTCTAAGAAGTTTGATGTAATAGCTAACAATATGTGTAATTTTAGAGTATGTAGGACTCTTTGAAGTGGTTAAACAACTCAGACATACGACTACAAACTTGAATGTATATATATAATATATATCAGACATGGGCAAATGCGGCTCTTTTTGAGTTATGTGTGGCTCTTGCTGANTGAAATATAACTTAGTTACAATAATGAGAGCGAAATGATCAAAAATTTTTACACAAGTCAGAAAATTATATTTTAACCTCAATTTATGCCAATTCTAGAAGTTAAAAACAATATATTTCTTTTGTTAAATAAAACTTTTGTTTTTTATTTGATTTTCATAAAATAAATGGAAAAAGTTGAAAAGTAAATATTTTTTGCAGTTTTAATTTAATTCTTAAGTTTATTGGTTAAGTTTATACCAATTATAATGAAAAATGTCACTCACTCTGGAAAGTTGGTTGTGGTATCATATTTTAAAAATAATTAGAAATAATGTAACATTTCTTTTTTTAAGACTGAATAAATAGATTTTTTTATTCTAAAATACAAGAAAAACAAATTATATATATAACATAAGTAACAATCTAATTTATTTGAATTACCAAATGATCTATCATATTATTTAATGAGCTATTTAATTATTTACTAGCCTTAAAATATCAAAAGCATGATGAATAATCTGATGGTTCGTTTGGTGATAAAAATAATGTTGCATGTTAACAAATTTATACATATAAGAGAATTATTATTTACAAATTAACTGTTTTGTTACAATATAGTAATAATTTACTATATTTGGATGCTTCTGTTCTGCATGGGCTTTTGTTCTATCTCAATATCTACTGATTGATTTATATATCAATCATTTTTGATTCATACATTGAATATAATTTTTCAGGTGTGATATTTGTATAAACAAGTAAAAATAGATTACTCATCAAAAGTATGAATTGAATGTTCAGCAAAGGGTTTATAATTCAAGGTTTGTCATACAAATATTTCAATTTGTAGCAATTTAATACCACCTCTTCAGTCCAGTAATTAGGCATTGTTTGGGCAAAAAAGTAGTAGTAATATCTGAATTGTTAACATCATAGTTTTAACATAACATCAGATTCTATTTTTAATATAAATTATTTAAATATAAACTGAATCTTCTCAAATATTGTTAGTTGATAATTTTATTAAAAATTTTAATATTTTATGTTGTAAGTAGTATTTTTTATAATCAACTCTGAACTTGTAAATTTTTTTAAAATTATAATTTAACACTTTTTGTTTGTATATTTCCATTTTTTTACAGAGTTAAAAAAACTTGATAATTTTTTGCTTATATTTTCAAATGCAATGGAATATTTTTGCTTAGAATTTTGAATTATCATACATTTACTCATTTAACTTTAGCATTAAAATATAAAATTATCATCATTATGTGAAAATAATTGCAAATATTATTGCATAATTTTAGACNTTTCATAAAAAAATTAATTTTTGTTTTGTCTTTGTTTGGAAGTCATACAACAGTTTATAGTAACATTATGTTCATTCAATTTTTCTCTTGAATTTTAGACTCCTGCCTACAATCTTTACATTATGCATAGCATTCCTTTTAAATTTTTGAAACCCTCCTTCAGAAGCATTGTGCGAATTTAAACATATTTGTTCTAGATTAATAGATTAGTTCTTTTATTAGCCATAGAAAAACAATAATTTTTTTTTGTGATCTGTTTTTTTCTGATAAATCTTTGACACTGTTTGAAGTTTTCTCTTTTAGAGTAAGATGATGCTACTACATTTCTAATTTTTTTTTTTTTTTGTTCTTGATATATGGTTGATTCATGGGAGCAAGCAACTATAGTTGTTTATTTTTCCTGCAGATAATCCAATCACTAAATTTTGTCTTGGAGAGGCATACCTTTCTTTATCTTTTTTTAATATTTTGCTACTAGAGTCTTTTTGTTCAGATGTTTGTTAGGAAAACTAACTGAAATTGTTTGAAAAACATACACATTCACATTGCACACTATTAATAACATAAAATCATGTTTATCATCTGTATAAGTGCATGTGCTAAGATAATTCTAGAAAGTATGGAACAACACTAATGCAATCTAATAAGTCAATAATATAAATTGAATTAATGACTCAGATTAATTATTTTATTTTAGAAACTTTACACAGCAGCTTCAAAAAATTAGTAGTGATGCTGGAATGCCAATTATTGGTCAACCGTGTTTTTGCAAGTATGCTACAGGTCCAGATCAGGTTGAACCAATGTTTCGTTATTTAAAAAATACATTCCAAGGACTTCAGTTAGTTGTTGTTGTTTTACCTGGGAAAACGCCTGTTTATGGTAATTGTCTTTTCATTTAAAATATTACTATAATTAATTTTAAATCTTACTTTACTATTACAAACTCAATGTTAGTCATAAAAATATAGCATTTATAATATTGGGTTGATGCAAAAGTTTCTGGAAATTTCTAGTTCTATAGTACAACATATATTGAATAAATTATTTTTTTATTTTTTAAAGAAAATAATTGCCATTCCATTCAAGTATCTTCCTCCACCAATTGGATAGGTCTTAGTTTAGGATTCTTTCTGAATAAAACTCTGGCTGTTTTGACTTTTATATTGAGATACTCTTATATTTGCCATCCAGGAAATCTGAATATAATATTGAATGTAAAGAAATTTGAAATATAACTTAGTTACAATAATGAGAGCGAAATGATCAAAAATTTTTACACAAGTCAGAAAATTATATTTTAACCTCAATTTATGCCAATTCTAGAAGTTAAAAACAATATATTTCAACTTTTGTTTTTTATTTGATTTTCATAAAATAAATGGAAAAAGTTGAAAAGTAAATATTTTTTGCAGTTTTAATTTAATTCTTAAGTTTATTGGTTAAGTTTATACCAATTATAATGAAAAATGTCACTCACTCTGGAAAGTTGGTTGTGGTATCATATTTTAAAAATAATTAGAAATAATGTAACATTTCTTTTTTTAAGACTGAATAAATAGATTTTTTTATTCTAAAATACAAGAAAAACAAATTATATATATAACATAAGTAACAATCTAATTTATTTGAATTACCAAATGATCTATCATATTATTTAATGAGCTATTTAATTATTTACTAGCCTTAAAATATCAAAAGCATGATGAATAATCTGATGGTTCGTTTGGTGATAAAAATAATGTTGCATGTTAACAAATTTATACATATTGAATTTCAAAGATAGACAGATAATTTGCATTAAATTTTATTAAAAAATTAAGTAAATTTCTGTTTAACTGCTATGGCAATCATATTTACATAATAGTAAAAATTTTACAAATTGTAAAAAAAATACTATAAAAATAACTTGTGACAGATTCTGATGGGAGTTTAACTACAGGAAGAAAATAGTAAATTATATAATTTACTATTTTCAATATACAATATAAATACATTTTTTTTATTTATATAAAATATAAATAAATTTTATATACAATATAAATACATTCAGATTTACGCATTAAATATATAATTAAAGTTTTCTGTAATTTTTATAATGAAACTGTTGTAAATATGAATTTAATATTCTTAATCATTTTAATATTATTTAATATAAAACATATTAGATTTATGTTACCTAAACAGATAATATAAATTGTTTATATGCTTGATATTACAACAAGTTTCATTATTTATATATTTATGATGGAGTTTTTAAAAATAATGAGCATTTACCATACTTTTGCAGAATGAGTGGCATGCTGCATAAAACTGGGGGAGATCAGCATTCCGGTTAAACTGTGACTAAAATATAAAATTAATCATATCTAACAAAACTAACTGTTAATTAAACATTAAAGAAAACATTCTTTCGAGTACAATAAAATAATAATAATGTAATTTGGCTGACTTAAAATCCAGAAGAGTTTTTGTTTAGAAGACAAGAAAACAATTAATGACTTAATAATTGTAGTAGTAGTAGTAGTAGTAGTAGTAGTAGTAGTAGTAGTAGGTTAGTTAGTGTGGGCTATTGACCATCTACTCCTATTATAAAAATAACATCTTATTTTCAAATTTCACACAAAGCTGATGTTAATCCTGTAAGCTCAGATAATTTACAGGTAGTTTCTTAAATTTAATATGTTTATTTTTGCTTTTTTGAATCAAATAACAATAAAATGCACACAAAAAGGTACTTTCATAATTCCAAGAACAAGAATGTTTTACATTAGGAAGAAGGCATAATGAAGAAATTAAACATATAATCACAGTTTTTGATTAATGCTGACAGTTTCACAGTTTTAGGGTAAAAACTTGTTCATTTTTACATGTAACTTGTTTTTTTTTTTTTAATGTGCCCTCTAGTAAGGGATGTATAACCTCACTTAAACCAGCATGCTGGCTTTTGTTATAAGGAAATATCTTATTTCATAGTCTTTCCTGGATAGACCAGCATGCTAGTCATTTTGCAAAAATATGGTGTAACAAAATATATCATACATTCTCATTTTAACAGATTGTGAAATGATGTTTTTCCAGGTCTTTCCAAATCCTTTTATCAGATCCATAATGCAGAATAACAGATTTTTTTCTAGCTTCTTCTATTATAAACTTTGTTTTTTTATTGTTTAGTTAATATTTGGGTGTTTCCAGAAATTTGTAGATATTGATGTACTTCTTAATATCTGAGATAGGTACAGTTGAAGAATTGTACAAAGAGTGTCAGCTGGCTGATATGATTGAGTAGTAGACACCAAGTGAACATTCTAATGCTGGTCCAAATGTAATGCCAAAATTTAATGAGGCCATTGAGTCTTTCCAACTCACGCACAACAGATGAATTTTGGCAGCCTAAGCGATTCATTAAAATGAGATTTTACTACATTTATAACTTTGTATATTTTGTGTATTTTACTAAACTGTAATACAGAAATTAATTTATCAAAAGTTTTATATAACAACTTTATATTGTATTTATTTCTAGCGGAAGTAAAAAGAGTAGGTGACACTGTTCTTGGAATGGCAACGCAATGTGTTCAAGCAAAGAATGTTAATAAAACCTCACCTCAAACACTTTCCAATCTTTGTTTAAAAATTAATGTTAAATTAGGAGGCATAAATAGTATACTTGTCCCAAATATCAGGTATTTAAAATTTTTTTGAAATTTTATATTTAATATTGATTAGTTTTTATTTGAATTATTCATAATGTTAAAAGGATGTATATTTGCTGTATTTGTGTGTATTTCTTTTTTCTGGCAAAAAGTTTTAATAATTAACAAATGTTTTTGGCCTGATTTTATAGATCAACATCAAGCCTGAAGTCAACAATAATATATATTATGTTTTATTTTGGAATACTGATTGTTCTACAACATATACACCAAATTTAAAAAAATTTTTCAGACAATGAAAAATACAAATCCTTAACTTTACAAATACAATTACACAGTTTATTAATGAAGAATTAGCTCATTATAAAAAAGATTTAACATGTAGATGTCAACCTCTACTATCAATGAAACAGCATGGTGTATAAATTATAACACAGTAACAAAGATAACAGATTTATCAGGAGTACTGAGAGTATATTGCATCCAAATCATGGATGAAAGATTTGGTTGCAGTCTGGTATATATTAGCTCTACAAATAGATCAATAACCAATAGAATAAAAGAGCACAGGTAAACATTGAGAAAAATAAATCTAACACTGTATTAGCCATATATGCCAGTGAAATAGAGGTGAAAACTCAAAGAAATAGAATTAATTCAATAGAAATATAATATTTACCATATAAGAGCAATAGAAATTCTAGAACAGATTTTAAAGTGGCAATGAAAAGGAACTGCATCAATCACAATGACTGTGAATTGTTATCAGCAGTGTGGCAAGTTGTTTTATGACAATCTCCAGGGAAAATTTGAAAATGGTGGCTAATTATGACTTTATTATGGACCTTTTATATAATGAGCTAATTCTTTATTAATAGGTTGTGTGATTATTAATGTCTGTAAATTTATGGATTTTGAATTTTGTATACTTTTTGTATACTAAATTCAAAAAAATTTTTGAATAAGGTTCTATGAGTTGTATAACTAATCGATGTTTCAAAATAGAATGCAACATATAATTGAATTTAGACTTGATGTTGTTCTATAAATCAGGCTTAACATTAATCATTAATTATGTTTGTTAAATTATTAAAAAATTTTTGCTGGAAAGAAGAATTGGTTAGTCTTTGGATATCCTAAATACTTAATCTTAACTTTATTTTATAAATTTCATAAAGTGTTATGTATTTTTAATTTTATTTTATTTACATGGTTTTCCATAAAATTGTATATTAAGTTATTGAATACACAACTTAGAAAACATTTTGCAATCATTTGAGTTTTATATTTTTTTTTATTTATATTGAAATATTTATATTTATGATAAATCTTTTAAGGCCAAAAGTATTTAATGAACCTGTGATATTTCTGGGAGCTGACGTAACTCATCCACCAGCAGGTGACAATAAAAAGCCATCTATTGCTGCGGTAAATATTAAAATTAAAATTTCATTGTTCTAAAATAAAATAATAGTTGCCCCTTGTTATATTGTGGATTCAGATATATTGCATGGTTTTTGGTCCCTAAAATTTTGAAAGCACTTGAGTCAATAAATTTTAAAATATTGATTGCTATTGAATATTTACTTGCAACAAAATACTTATTTTTTCCTACCATTTCCCTTGAAATTACTACTCAGGCAAAACAAGCAATAAAACAAAGCAATGAATTTGACAAGGGGATGTAAACAAGCTGTTCTGCTTGTTTAGATCTCAAGTGGACAGATTAATTATCATTGATCAGTCAATGTGATTGCGGAAACTTTCATTAAAACATTTTAAAATTTGTTGGGAGAGAAGAGTTGTGTGTGCTTTAAGACACTACAGTACAATGCCATGGAATTGGCTGGAAAGTCTTTTTATAATAAATAAATTTAAAATGTAATCTTTGAATCAACATGTCTTCAAAATGTATGAATGTTTCTGTCAAATTAAAATTAGAAGCTATCAAAAAAATAAAAAAAAAAGGATCAAAGCAAGTTATACTGAGTGAATAGTGAAAGCAAATGAGAAAAGCAATTGTGAATTTTAAGCAATCAATATTTTGCAAGCAAGAGAAAAGATCATCTCAAAAAACAAAACAGCTGCTTTCAATTTTCTATTTCTAACCACATTTGTTTATTTATTGAGAAAAAAAAATGTCAAAAAGAGATCAATGCAGGTTGAGAGGAATATTAAAAAACCATGAATTACAACATCTACTCTATTACATGAGAAAATTTCTGTAGTCATCTTGAAAACAATAAGAACCATGTGACAACTAGTGGAAAAACAATTGGTGGTAAAATTTTTTTCGTAGTGAAAAAGCTCGACAGTTCCAAACTTCAAAGCAATTCATGAAATGTTAAAATTCTCTGGAAACGACATAATGCATGACATATAAGCTCAGAAATTTTAGTACAGGTAACCTCTGTATAACACAGGAGTTACATTCCAGAAAATTGCCATGTTATGTGAATTCATGTTATATGGAACAAAGAACTAGTGTGAAAAGGGGGGTTAGATTCCAAAAATTAAAAAAGATGATGTTAAATCCTTATTTAAATCGGATTTATTATTCATTTTTTTCATAGGTAAAATACTTATTTATTATTTAAGTAAATATTTTACCAGAGGATTATTCATTTTATATGATAATCTCAGCATGAGCATCATCAACTGGTAACAGTTTGTGGGCGCATTCGTTAATAGTGGTCGCTCTGCAACGGGAATGCGCTGCCGTTTGTAGGAATTTAGGAACGACGGTGAAAGAAAAATGGCGGCGCCCGCACTATTGATAGTATCGTGTGGAGGAATCTATAATTCTAAAATGAGCTTTTAGAGGCAAAAGAAGGGTCCCAATTGTAAAATTTAACCATTAAATGGATTATT